TGAGGAAATCTAGAATCACTTTTACACTCTCCCCAACAGCAGTGTTTTGTTGCGACCATTTGCAGCATAAAATATCCAACAACACATAGATTTTCTTCCTGTCGAATTATTGTACTTTCAGCAATGTTTGTCCGACCTTTGCTGGGGGTCCAAAAGTGACGTAATCTATTTTTGCTACTGATGAACCGACCACGATCGTAGTACGAGTGCGATAATAACGTGCGTCAAACATTTTTATTTTTTGATAAAAATTTCTGTTGACAACAAAATAAAACAGCCTACATTTTCCGAAAGCTTAAAACAAATGCCCATCCAATGAAACTTTGAGAGTTTAGTTTGACTGTTGTAGAATTTCATCTTAATTTTAGATTAATTTAAATCACCCTTTATTTCATTTAGGAATTGTCTTTCATTGACTTAGGAGAAAGCCTCCTTAAGAAAGGAATTACTAAGGTAAGTCATATCTAATATTTAAGTAATTGGGCATTATGATCCCTATGTAGGAATGTGTATAAACAAGATATGTAAAATTTGCACTGGCTCGCATACCTCTAAAACTTCATTCTTTTTGGTGTAATAATTGCTTCTTATAGTCATTTAATTTTTGTGACCTCTTTCAATGTCTGCAAACATGAACATTATCAAGGTAATTCCTTTGGTTTTTTCTTACTTTCAAAATCTAAGTAAATTGTAATTATTTTAAGACAATTTATTTTTCTTTTTACACTCTAGCATTCACAGAATGAATCCTTTTGGGAGTGCAGAAAGTGCACTCTCATAAATGTGGAATCATCAGATGTTTGCATTGTTTGTGGGTCATCAAGGCCACATAATGCACCCATTTAGATTGATATTAGTGACTCACCTCAAAGTCCACACAAAAAGAGGACACAAAGGTATATGTGACAAATGATTTCAATATAGTTAATTCTAGTTAGTTGTCAGTGCTCAAAATATATTTGAGGTAATGAAACCTCTTTTGGGGAATTTGTGACAGTCATGCTCAAGTATGTCTTATGTTTCCCCCACTATAGAAATGAAGATTCCAAGCCAATTTCTTCAGCAATCAGAAATCTTTCATTCGAAATGTCTTTTGAGGAACTTAGTACATCATCGATGTACATTTCTAGGTAATTAATTATGTTTCATATGTCTGTAAAGTTAAGCTAGTTCATAGTTCAATTATTGGCTAAATCATTTAGCTTCAGGATTTTAGTATCTTTTAATTACATGTCAAGCTGATGATAATAATAATTATTAGAACAAAATACTTAGATTATTTGCATTGAGGATAATGAAAAATTGATGCAATGTGTGAGGTGGACCCATACAGAACAGGGTAAGATAAGAGTCAGTTGTGTCATAATTTTAGGATTTACCGGTAATCTCTTTGCCTGAAATATTTGGCACTTATCATCTTTTTTTTACAAACAAATTGTTTTCCCTTTGATTCACACATCCTATATATGGATCATAGGACACTTAGTTATTGGTTTAGAAATTTTTTTTTACAGTACTCTTTTTAAAAGGTTGAGCTAGGGAGAAATTGGAAAGGAACCAATATAGTAACACTGAGTGATGTCATTGATTAACTTGTTTGCATTTCTGTTTTGTAATAAATAGCTTTTCTGATTGTGGCTCAGATTCAGAGCATTCCACCACTGGTGAGCTTTTTCCCCTATATTAATTCAGTTATTAATGAATTGAGGGAATCCCAGTCCGACGTAATTTTAATATTTTACTTCATTAACATACAAGTTTATCCAGAAATGACCGGATGCTCAACAGCAGTTGACTTTAAAAAGTTGAAGAGCACTTAAATTATATGTAGCTCCATGCATGTGATACTAAATGCCTTCTGGAAATTTCAGCCATCAGAACAAAAGGAAAAACTCTGTGTTCCACAAGTGTTATCAGCCTACATATTGCTTACAAAATGTTAACTTTTTCACAATACATGCTAGTATATTTAGCATAGCTACAACGTTTGCTAATATTGATATAAGCCAGTAATCAATGCCTTGCCTTTTAGGTCTTAAGCGCTACACGAAAAAGTTTTGGGAAAAAATTTCTAGACGCCAGTTTTCAAAGTCTACAGCCATAAACGGAGACGCTGTTTATCAAGTCCCTTACCAAAAGGACAAGAGGATGAAAGCTTTTGCCGATGGGCGTCCTTGGGATAGGGACATACCAATCAAATGGAAAGGAGCGGAAAAGGGCTCAGTACGCGCTCAGCGCCGTAAAGGATCTTGCGAGTGCGAAAATCCAAAATGTTCTTTCAAGCAGCAACATGGCAAAGCCAATAAAGTCCAGTTTGAGGAAACAGGGATGGAGGCAGACATCTTAGAGGCAGTTCAGAGGTTACGAGGCCGGTAGTTTTCATGGAGGAACAGGTCCTAGTATGTCTACCATTGCATTACGGAGCTCTCACGCTCGGAAGAATCGCACAGAAATGTATGCGAGGGATCGTAGGAGACGAACCCTCTTGCTTGTCCTCTCGGGCGACGCTTTAAGCGCTTACCAGGTTGATCCTCTAAGCCCACACCGAGCAACAAAACCTAAGAAGAGGAAGAAGAAGACGACGACGAAGAACTTGAATAAGACGTCGAACTTGAGCGAATGTGAAGAAAGCCTAGCGAGTACATCTGAGGAAGAACAACAACAACAAGAAGTACTTCAAGGCAATGTTGAAGACCTTTCCGCTGGAAAAATAGGAGCCAGGGGCTGTGTGCGAAGCCGTCAGTTCAACATTACATTGAAACGAGCAACTCAGACCGACCGAAACAGGATCAAGTTATTGTCTGTTTCAGAAGAAGGTAAATTGCTTCGCAAATACGAGGTATCAAGTGCACGTGATTGGTTGGTTATGGGCCCTACACTGTATCAATTGACACAACTCCGAGTTGCAGTTGCGAAGATTTCATGAACAGCCGAACGGTGAAGATCTGTAAGCATTTGATTTGGGTGTGCGTAATCGTCCTTAGAGTCGATGAAAAGGATGATACCCTTCAACAAGCAGCACTCACTGAGCAGGAAGTCCGCTCCATTTTTCAACGCGCACCACCTACCTGTACTCAGCCAAAGCCTGCCTTAGGTAAGAAACGCTTACTCTCTACGAGTAGCACAAACGATGCGCAGAGTAACGCTGACAGAGTTATTAGGAATGACCCGCGGAGTAATCACCCACAAGTGTGGTGTCTGGAGCAGTTAAATCGATCCGCCGGCCCCTAATCACAGTGTGCAGGTTGTAAGAAAGTGTCCTTTGATACTGATGATATTCTGTTGGCGGTTGATGCTCTTTACGTTCCACGCGACAAGGAATTTTGTGTTCAGCGCACATATAGATTCGGTGTCGACGCTCCGTGTTTCTCCAAAGTGCCAAGGTTTTCAAACTTAAAACCAGCCAGAAACGCTCTTCCCGGTCGAGGAGCGACTCAGGAAGACATTGAAAAAGCATTCTCTATGGGGTTAACAATTGAGTGAATGCAACCTCACACTGAACTCTGAAAGTAGAAAGAAACAGTTGTTGTAGAATGACATGTTTTAACTCGTATTGTTTTAGTTTAAAAAAGGAAATCGTCCATAAAAGTTGTCAGTGAACCTCTCGGCGATGAAAATGTGTGACATGAATGTATTACACAGTTATTGCACGATAAACTTGAAGGGGGCCATTTTCGTTAAAACACGTACTTATTAGTTTCCGCCAGCTGCCTTGACGTTTTTGATAAAAGCCTCGACTAAGGACCGGCTCACACGTGCTACAAAGCATAAAAAACCTGACTTACGAAGGGCCTGTTTTACAACATTCACTCGCACAAATTGGGGATTCAAAATGAGATTTAAAGTCATCTTGTCAGAGTAGTTTGCAAGCAATCATTTTTGACTCTATTGTTCGTTTTGTTTAGTTATTACAGACATAGGGTGAATGACAGTGAATTCAGGAAGTTGTGCACAACGAGATGTGTGTTCAATTATTCCTTCACGTCTAGGTTTAACAACACAGTTTAAACAATTGAGTTCACAGTTTCAGTTGTATTTGAAGTATCATATTATAATACAACGTTCAGGTTAGGTTAACTGTGTGCAGCTACATGTTACACGTAAGTAAATAAAGTCCATGTTGGGCTGATTCTTTGGGTGGAGATGGCTTTTCTTTGTGTGCCTATCCAGCTCTTTACCGTCGCTGTCAAAGGATGAACAGTCCACGGTTTTTGTTATAACGTACTGCTCGCACCTTGAGCAGGAAAGAGGTAGCGAAACCTGAAATGGTGTTTTCTGATTGTCTACCTGGCCGGCAGTATGGGGCTATCCGTACCTGCTTAGGATTGCTTGTTTTGTTCCCGCAAGAAAACATTCTTAAGTCAATGAGTGATCTTTTGGCCATGTTACTGCGAGTTTTTATTGAGAAGCGAAGTGCTACCGTTATTTACATGTATGACCGTTGGAATGACAATGAAAAACAATCGCAACTTTATTTATTCTCCGCAACATGTAAAACGGCAATTAACGGTTTTGCTAAACGCTTTTAGTACTTATTAATTCCAACAGTTTAGTTTGGACTACCCAAAATTGAATCACCAAAAATGCAAAGATGCCACCTTCGGAAACTTCGTTAGACTCGGTAATAGGTTAGAACTTGTAAATGCGTGCGATCTCACTAAGGATGTCATCGATGTTCGTTGCATTTGTTTAGACCGAATACAATCGACTGAAAAGCAAAGATGAAATTGACATAAATGCGCACTGTGGGCTCCTGAATGCTCGCTGAAGGCTTCATGACCTTCGTAAATTGCTTCCTCGACTGCAGGTAATCATAACAGATCGGTAAAAACGACTAAAGACATCAAAAAGGCGGCTGAACTTACCTGTTAAGATCTCTTTCCCTGAAACAACACAGCGGGCCGAATATGAGTTTCGTCGATTTTGAGATAAGTGCTGATTGGATATTGATAGGATAAGGTCGCTAAATGGTTAAATTCCTGGTTTTCCTAGGAGCAATCTGATGACTGGGTCGCAATATGGATATTTCTAGTAGGCCGTTTCTCCACCCGAATCATCGATCCAGTGTACCGAAAATCCTCAGATGCTGAAAATTGCAGGTGCCTACGCTGATGCTCCGGCAGCAAAAATCCTCCCGGGTTGTTTAAAAGCACTTTCCACGCTATAGTTTGTTTATTTAATATTTTTCAGATTTTCATCTTCAAATGCTTTCTAGAGAGGAGCCAAAGACAGTCATAATAAAGAAAGGAGAGAAAATGGAAAGATATGGAAAAAAACAGTGGCTTGCAAAAGAGGCTCGAGGCTCGCATAAAACGGCTCCGGCTCGCACATTAGTTAACCTCATTTATTCTTAAGGCGGAGCCTGGGAGATCGAAGGCACCAAGAGGTGGAAATACGTCTGTGTTCGAAGACTTCCTGGGCTCATGTCATAATTTACTTTTTGTTTTGCTTGTGGATTGAGCGCTCTGAAGCCCATTTTAGTAGTGTGTGGTTAGGCTTTCTGTATATTTTCACGTTTATTACCATCTGAAGCACGAATAACCGAAAGTTTGTGAAATTGCAGGTCTGCTTGTAATTATTGTTAAATTCCTGAATTACCAACTCCTCCATCAAATGCCATAATCGCTTGAAGCTTTCACTGATAATTTTAATTTTATTTCATTGACATGCAACACTTAGAAGATGCACTGAGAGTGCCCTTTCATTTCTTTAATTGTTTTTCTTTATTTTTACAAAATAACTAGGCCCTTATAAACCCATAGCAACCATTTAGAAAGCTTCATAAAAGTTAAAGTTTTGCGATGAAATTGATCAGTACATGGCGAAAAACTTACTTTTCTTAACGAACACCGGCAAAACATAGTTTAATCGCAGGTTCAAAAAATATGATTGTTTTCCCTATCACGACACCTTAATCAATAAAGGAATTTTTTACGACAAAAACATTCATCCGCTAAATTTCAAAATGTAACGAAAGGGAAAGCAGATGCAACATTGGAATATTTTTTGTTCGTAAGCTCATTTTAAAATATATAAAATACAAAAACAACTAGTGAAAAAATCCATAACACTAGAGTGGAAAATTTGGGTTGTAGCTTTTAAACTCGTTAATACAAAACTGTTTGCCTTTCCAAGACTAAAAGTTTTAAAAATATATAAGAATATATAAAAGCTGCACTTTGCCTCGCTTCGCTGTCAAACAGCTTGTTTTGAAGACTTGCTTACTCAGCAAAAAATATGGGTAAATGTGAACTATATAAGGAAAAAAGATGTCATAGGGCGCCACTCCCTCACAGGGCAAGATCGTCAACATTAACGTAGAGTCGATCATCGTAATTTTTTATATTTATCAGCCTCTGTAAAGAAAAAAGAAATCAGAGAAAATGTGAAAAACGATTATAAATTATATTATACTTTGTTAAGCTTTCGAAGACACGTTATTTTCTTAACATTAACCTTAACATAGCTGATACAATTAATTTTAGATATAGAAGTTTTAAACTGATTGTCGAAAAACCAACTAACCCTAATCCTAGAAAGACTAAACCCAAAGTATTCATATCTATCTATCAGAACAAAGGTTAACATCAACATTAACCAATAAGAACTCAAAGTAGATTCAGGTAACCTCCCAAAAGCGCGGGAAAACCTGTGTGATCAAGCTGGGATTAGTTTTAGATTTCAGTTTCGATTTACACTTTCGAAACTCAATTGAAAACTGCTCTGAGCGCGAAATAGATTAAAACCATAAACTACGCATGGAAGCCTTCAAGGTGACGCCGCTATCAAGTTAAGTTGATGGTGGTAGATTCCAACAATCAAACTTTAAAAAGAAATAAAAACAGAGAGACTCTCTTTGCAAACTCTACAATTCTACCTTGTGTTGGTTTTCCATGTCTTTGAGTTCTTTCCTCAAATTTTTAAAAGATGGTCTCAAGTTAGGGTCGTCTTTCCAACATTTTGTCATCATGTCATACCTTAAGGAACGACAAAAAAAATAGTTTAATTAGAAACAGTTCGACCTATCATTGATGAACAAGCTTTTAGTTAAAAAATTCCATCATTTTATAAAAAAGGACAAAAGATTTATGCAACAGAGATCAACTCGTAATGGTGTACCTCTTCTTTCGTTTCCCTTCGTTAGGCTGGTTCAACACGTAAAGGTAATTTAATCTTGAGGCCCACATTCAACTCAAACAAAAAGCAGGAAAAATACTATTGTACGATAAAAGCCATCACGAAAACAATGACACAATATTAACATACAACTTATCATCCACATGTTGTGGTTTAGGCATTCTGTATCCTTCTTGAAGTAAGTTTGCAATTTTTCTTCCATCCATCCTTGGATATGGTGAACCACCTGAATAGAGTAGGTAAGGTTAAGGTACTCTAAAATGAAAAGTTCTACAGATGTATTTCCATCAGTAATTTTTTTCCGGCCAAGGCCAGCGACTGTGGCAATCTAAGCTGGCTTGGTATGACCCAAAACCTCTTCTACAGAGACTGGTACACCCTGCTTACTTCATGACTTCCTGCTCCCTCAATTCCTGAGGTTACAATTACTGAACAGGTAATCTTAGTAACTTACCAATCGTGAAAATCTCATAGAGGAGAACACCGTAGCTCCACCTATAAAACAAACGGGATAAATTTAAGGAAGTAAAACATTACTTCCCTGCAAAAAATGCAATTAAAACATCTTCGGTAGTAAAGGGAAGGGGGGATGGGGTGCGGAAGGACACATAAACTTTATAACAACTTTATTGGGTACGTCTACGAATAGACGGACGCCAATTGGGTTAGTGCAGCGGGACATGGAGTCCCATACGGGGCACTACCCCTCTTAAATCCACCCAACCTAACCCAGGGGATCACACAGTAATCTCGTGCGTGGGAAATTAACGTCTCCTAACCCAAACCCTGCAGGAGACGGGACCTCCGGCTTAACGTCTTATCCGAGAAGACGAAGCAAGGTGAGTGAAGCGGCTTGCTTAAGGCCACAACGTAGTGCCCCGGCCAGGACTCGAACCCGGGCCGTCCGACCCAGAGTCCAGCGCTCAGACCACTGGACCACTCACGCCTTACATGTACAGTAAATAGGTCATAGGAGTGGATTAGTGGTCACTACCCCCTACAAAATGAGGATAACCACCCCTCACTAAGATGGCCTCACACCAGCAAAATAAAAAGACCAAGATACAAAAGTAATCAAATAACCTTTTGCTGACCATCAATAGTTCATACAAAACCATTCTCATTAAGCCTTACTGCAGTGTTCATGTCTTCCTTGTACTCACACATCACTCTTGGTAGAATATTTTCTGTAGAGCAACGCCTCAATGGCAGTCCATTTTACAGGGAGACGCCCCTAAGTAAGAAGCAGAAAAGCAAGGAGTTGGCGTAGTCCTTAAAAAGTACTAATGCTCCCAATGGCGACACTACTGGAACGAAAGTTGTTACTCCAGTGAGGCATCTTCAGCCTTACAAGAACATATGTTTTCTTTAAATCATTCATACCCTGGTTTTTCTTTCGTAAATATTGTCCTCCTGCACATCTCTGGCCATTCCAAAGTCCGTCACTTTGCACGTTTCCTTCTCTCCAACCAACACATTACGAGCTGCAAGATCTCTATGAATAACCTTACACAAAGAGAAAACGTTTCTTTCGGAAAACACCCTTTAACGAAACGAGAGACTTGAGGGTGACTCAGCTGACATGGGATGACATCCTAGGCAGTGAGTCCACGATTCAATGAAAAATGAGGTATATTGAGTAACAAATGAGGCCTTATTCTACAAGAACGTTATTCAAAGAATTATTACATCACTTACTGGTATCGATGACAAATAGGACATTCCATCAGCGATTTGCCAAGCAAACTTAATCAGCTGCTGTGAGGTCAAGTTTGTTTGTGGTTTGATATCTGGGTCTTTATAGTACGTATCACTCAATCCACGGCTCTTTCTCAGGTAACCCAGCAGATCCCCAAAAGGAACATATTCGATCAGCACAAACAGTGGCTCTAGAAAGACAAACAAAGGGTTAGATAATAAACACAACAGCCACTTGGAAGAGTACGACATTTTTTTAACGTTCATAAGAAAATAAAATATCAACGACCTTATGACTCGGCAATATTCACAATTCTTGTAAATCTATATTAGATGCAATGTAACCATAAATTTTTACTCAGAAAATCAATTATGAAGGGATAAAATGTCGATGCCACTGAACTGACATCGTATTAAACTTTAATTTAAAGCAGGTCATGTTTTATCTTCATGGTCTACTACCGATTCCCGCCCTTGTAGAATATCGACATCTGACATGCCTATATTCGCAACGTGTGCAAACCTTAAGCACAAAGTTTTGGTCTCGGCCCATTCTTGGTCCACCAGTAACTTTTACTGATCTTATATCTCACTTATTGATAATATACACGCTGCTATTTTGCGGACAGCATACAACTGTGACTACTTCTTTGCTGTCAAATAAACTCTATCGAGACCTCACAAGTGCACGCAAGAATATAATATGCCCAAGCTTTAAGCGTCGGTCAGACGATTTCCCCAAAAGTTGACAGAAATGGAAATAATGGATAATTAAATGATGGGGCGAATTAAATGGACTTTACCAACAAAGGCCTCCTCAAAATCATCAAAAACGTGATAAACGCCGCAATGATCAATCGAGTAAATAAGGTACCATACGAGTGACACTGAGAATTGATTTCCAGACAGTTACTTTAACCTAGACTAGGAAGGCCGGGCGGACCTCTGGGTGTGAGGCACACGAAAAGTAGGGTCTCTACCCATCACTTCCTGTGTTAATTTTGTTTCCGCTGATTTTTTTACTTCGCCGAAAAAGGACGGAGTACTCGTAGTCTACTTTTACCCGAAGTTACTAGTCGTTTCGTACCCAGTCAGTTGGGTTGTTTCGTGCCCAAATTAATAGGGTATGTTTTATGTGTGAAGTATCTTTAAAGTAAAGTCGGTAAAGAGGAAAATCTTACTCGCTTGGATCTACTTACTTGTCGTTGGCGACAACGGAGATGTGTTCACGCAATAGCGCGTGAAGTATTTCTAGTAGAAACCAAATCCTATTATGTAAGAATGGACTAAATTTGAGTACGAGATGACTCCGTACGAAACGACTGGATACCCTATTAAAGAGTAAAATGTTGAGTGCCGTACTCTATAAGCGTCCCCTCTTTATCAAGCACCCCCCTCGAATTTGGTTTTTTTTTCTTAAGAAGCACCCTAATTCTAATAAGCAGTCTCATTCCAATAAGCGCCCATGTTCTGTTTCAGTGATAGCACTGTTAGAGTACATGTACACTGAGATCAACCGTGGTTCATCTTCGTTTCATTGTTCACATGTGGCCTCATTACAAAAACAGTGAGCTTCCTCTCAGTCTCTCAACTATTATGTCTATGTGAGTGCACAGTTCCTTCAAACGAATAAAAAATGTTTGCCACGTTTGCTTGGATCTTTGTTCTTTGAAGGATGTAGGAACAACATATTTTTAAATCCTTTTCAAATAAATATCAATTGAAAGCTTTGTTTTGCACATTCTGCTGGTTCTTAAAAAAACAATAGGCGCCCTGTCCCTGATTACCACCCTGTTTCAAATAAGCACCCTTCCCTTGCCTACCAAAAGTAAATAAGTGTCCCGGGCGCCAAATCAAATCATTACGGTATACTATATAAATTAAGAGGAAAGATATCTTAAGCTCAAACACCAACATACCGAGAAAAACGAATCTTATCTATATTTTAAAACCTAATTTGTTTGACTGTAACCATAGCTAATAATAAACATTTCAGTATTTACCGGACTTGGTAACACATCCCAGGAGTTTGATAACGTAAGGATGAGGTTTAAGTTGTTTCATCAATTCAAGTTCAGACAGCAAATTCTTTCTCTCTGATTCAGAGGCGTTTTCTGCAACATGATTTCCGATCAATCATTGTTGAATAACATTTCAATGAATCACAATAATATCGTTCAACTGTAACATAATATAAGGAAAGGTAGACAGATGGATAAATCAGTAGATAGGTAGATATATAGATAGATAGATAAATAGAATAGATCCACTGATATGTAGACAGATTGATAGATGGATAGAGAGACAGATATATAGATAGCTAGACGGATAGACAGAGAGATGGATAGATAGATAGATAGATAGATAGATAGATAGATAGATAGATAGATAGATAGATAGACAGACAGACAGATAGATAGATAGATAGACAGACAGACAGAAAAATAGACAGACGGATAGATAGATAGATAAATAGATATCATTCGACTCTACCGTACATCACACTTAAGGTGCTTTTCTTCACCAACGTAAAGCGCCGAGGCTCTAAAATAGAACTATTATTTAAGGAGGTATATTAACATCGCACCTTAAAATTCCATCGCTACATCAAATAGAACAAGCTTTAAGCTATGGACATAACTGTGGACTAGTCATATAGAGTGTGATTACTCTAGACAGGAACTTGGAAATTATGCAGAAGCATATGGTTAAAATCACAATAAAACAATATAAAACAAAACGGAACAATTTGGACAGACTTGTAAGTCAGTTCAAAGACCAAGTAAAACATGACTTGGTACCTTTCAACATTTTAACTGCTACGAGCGTCTTCTTGGCTCTTCCTTGTAGGTTAACGGCTGTTGCCTTGGCAACCTGACCAAAAGCACCTTTTCCAACAATCTGCTTTATCGTCACATGTTCTCTAGGAGTCTCCCAGGAGCGTGTGTATGGGTTAAGAGAAGCGTACTCGCTGATTTGTTCAGCGCTGAGCGGACTGGAATCTGCCATCAGTTGTGAACGAGTTCTGTCATCCAGTGCCATGTAATGGCTTTGAGAAGGTTTACAAGTATGCAATTCGACTGCAGTCTTAAAGACAAAATTGTTTTCAATTCAATAAAAGATGATAAACTACCCAACTTTCTTGGAAACTATTTCAAATCTTCAAACCAGCTGTCTTGTGAAAAATAAACCACTATTTACTTAGACTTATTTGAAAATACCCATGAATAATCGACTTAAAATCTGTATCAGTCATAGCTTTCTGGGTTTAGGTAGACTGTAAACTGCAGTGGGAAGATTCTCCGGAAAGGCAGCAACATAAAAACAAAACAAACCTAAGACTACAGAAAAATATCTCTATATAAGAAGGCATAAGATTTCATCGCATAACCTACATCGGTACTTCCTCTTGTTACATTACTTGAATTTCCAAATGTTCTGAAACAGCAAATAAAATATATTACAAAACCAACCCAATTCTCTCCAACTGTAAAATCCTAAATAAGAGAAATACTCTCCAGACAGCATAGTTCAGTCAGAAGAACAGCTGGAAACCAGATATAGCCTCAGCTACAGTCACAGCCTATCTGTAGCCATACCCTCCCCCCTACAGTCGGACTATAAGAGCAGAGTAGACTTGCCCTGAGCTTTACATATGTGATTATCTTAAGGGAACGTTTGTTTTAATAGCCAGAGAGGGTTTCGCATCCTCTGCATTTAAGCATTGAAAGTTTCATTTTCCCCAGTTACGAGCAGTGGAGACAAATATCATGTACTCAGAGTGATTTCCTGAGACCGAAGAAACACAGACTTTATCCTTATCAACCTTCCAAATATGTAGTAAACAATAACAGTATTAAGGTCAGATTAACTAAAATGTCTTTCTCAAGCCTCTACAAATTTGTCGACCATAACACTACCTCAGCAGTAACCTATCATTGTAAAAGAATACTTTTGGAGCAATGATAATGATAATATTGATAATGGCAAAGATAACAAGAATGATAATAATAATAGTAATAATAATCAAAACTATAAAAATTCACGAACGTGATTGGTTATCACAAGCCCCAGTTGGGGCACCAATAGCACAGTGCACTCGTCATGCTTGTTCATGGGCTGAGTTATTGAATATTTCGTGTCATGCGCGTTCGCTGATGTCCTGTACTTCACCGAGTTACCCGTTGTTTCTTTCCTTTTTTTTAACAAAATACATAGTTTCTTAAATTTTGTCCTACTTTTGATTAACTTGTAATTATCAAATCGGACTCCTGCTCCGCGGTCGTCCGATTTTTAAAATCAATCGAATGATTACAGACCGTATTGGACTTGACTCAGTCCTATTACCATTACTTACAATAACAATGATAATGATAGCTTTCTATTCATGAGTCATAGTGAGATCACCGACGGAAGATCACTCCACTAATAGGGGACATCTAGAAAACTAGTACTTTGACCTGAACTAACACGCAGCGATCTTGCATTACATATATATACAGTAATAATAGCAATAATAGTAATAATAATAAGTACACACACACACACACACACACGCACACGCACACGCACACGCACACGCACACGCACACGCACACGCACACGCACACGCACACGCACACGCACACGCACACGCACGCACCCAGATAATACAATTAACTCAAATACATTAAGAAGTTGCTAATGTTCTTGTTTTTTTTAATTCAGTTTTTCTACAGATCATTAAATTCATCGTCCAAAAGTGTATAGTGGTATCACTGCTGCGCAAGATGTGCCTTGAAGTTAGCGGTAATTGGATCAATTGTTAAAACGATCGAGCCATAAAGGAAGAACGCAAGTAAAGAGCAACACTTCGTTAAAAGATCTCACCTTCCGCTCATCGCCACCTCTGTGGTAAAAAAAAGAAAACAAAACAAAAAAATAAAAAGCAAACCAAAACAAAACTAAACAATAAATAATCAACTACAAGCAAAATTTATCTCTCACAAGCAAAATAAAGTCTGTTTTATGTATATCAAGTTGAGTCTTAGAGTGTTCAAACGTCATGCGAGGTCTTTTAACTGGAACTAGCTAACCACAAAGTAGATAACAGCAAAACAAATTATTAGTTTACAATTCATTGTTATAAGAGTTATCTCTTAAAAATATAGAAATCGCTTCAGCAAAGATCATAATGCAGCGGATAGTGAACTAAAGATTGTACTTACTACTAAAAGAAAGGAAATACATCAAAGATATATTTCTAGGATGCCAAAACCCTTGTTCATTTGAGAGCATAAGATGTGTGCAACACTTACCTTCAATGCCTTTCGTGTTGGGCCTTTTTTTCCTGCAAGTCCACAAAACTAATATTCCGGCAACAGCCAGTGCAGCAACTGATCCAAACACTGCACCAACAACAATACCTATGGTACCTAAAATGCGTGATAAATGTCAGAAAATCTTTTATCCATGATCTTATCATAAAGAATCTGCCTTTGTACTCCTGTTATGGTCAATAAACATTTGGAATTCAGTCAGAACTCTTTCTCTTCTTACCACAATTTTGTGTTTCACAATTCATTACATATGTGGAAACTAAGAGGCTGCAATGCGTAATTAAGTACTCGTTCAGAAAAAGATGGGGATACAGATTCTTCTCATGCAAGGTTAAAAAAAATTACCGGATAATTAATATTGAATATTTCTCCCCTCTTCACAAGCTCTTAAACTACAACTTCCGATTAGTTACTCACAGCAAAAATAAGATAGAGCCGCCCACTCCTTAATCCACAACCTTGTACATAAAATAAGGCATAGTAAGATCTCACCTTTTTCCGCGGCCAGGGTTGGTTGCACGGACAAAATGAAACAGAAAAAAAAAAAGAAAACCATGATTATAATCTGCCACCATTACAAATATTTAAAGCTCATTAAAAGTTAAGCTACAAATTGTTTCTTAAACCAGAAAGATGTAATAGTGTTTGGTGTGTAACACAAGCACAATTTTGTCCTTGGTGTCTAGAGAGTACTAAATTACTCGTTGCTCAACATTTACAAAGTCCGGCATTTGTCATTAAAGAATGCTTTACCTGTTTTCGTCCCATTTGGAAGCTGTGAAGATTCTAAAGAAATACACTCGATTAATTTAAGGAAAACAAGCATGGCTGCTATTTGTTTGGACTCCTGTGAGCCACACATTATTTTTTCCTATTAACCATCTCGAAAAAAAAAGATGTAAATAAACCATGTTCTAAAACTACTGAGCAAAAGTGAATTTAGGTAAATAAAAAGCAGGAGATATTGGAAAACATGATAAGCATTTGTTACATGTTTGCATACAAATCAACTGTTAACTTGACGAAATGCACAACAAAATCGCGCACACATGATGCATACACTGTCCTATTAGTGCTCAAATTGTGGCTGGTTGTGGTTGTCATTGTTATTACTACCATTAAACACCAAGTTTTCAAATCTCTGTATAACTTGCTACAGAACCAATTTTGAGTTAAATACAGTAACTTTCTAAAGAACTTTTTTCACACCGAAAAAAAATACGCTTCCAACCAACTAAAGGGCAAGGACGTTCCCTAATCAAGTTGCAAACTTTCATATGAGTTGTTATGAGGACTTAACCCCATAGGACACGTCAAGTGGTGATGTGACACCTCCACCTGTTGGTTCCAGATGAGGTCTCTTTCCTCTTATGGCACCAAAACTGAACTCTCCCAGCTTTCCATCTTTTACAGCGTCATTAAGTGTTGTAATAACATCTTGTTCCTTTTTAGTCGAGTTGAATTTCAGTGCAAGGTCAACAATGATACTTCCACACCTTGGAACAAACATTAACTGAGGGTTAGAGTGACATGAAATGGGAAAGAGAAAACAAAAGAGCAAATAATAAAATTTCTAAATCCCATTTATTCACATACCTCACACCTATCAACTGCACTCCTTCATAACCAGGTTTATCGGCAAAAGCCCCCTCAACCTGCAAGTAAGTAATTTAATCATTTATCTTAAAATGTTACGGTATATGTATGACACATAAGAACAAATGAGGAACACACCAAATATCATCTATTGAATCGAACATGGCTGTTTTGCAGAGAATCAGTCTCTAAGCATTAATCAGTTGTTTCTTTAAAGCGATACTTCAATGAATAATTGTTCTTCTTCTTGTCACTTGCCTCATATTTTAATTTGTAAAGAAAGCACCAGGGCTCTTAATGCCCTAAATAAAGACCATGAGCAAACATTGAATAGTAAGAAGATTGTGACAAGCCTTCCAAGTTCAAGATTTGAGAGAACTGTGAAAAACTGCGTGCAATCTAGGAATTCAAGAAACACTGTAGAATTAAATGAAATATTCTCCACACATTCTCCACAAGCCAAATTTCCTTTTAATCATTATACAGCCAGCACATCAGTCTCTATGGGAAAATATCCCTCCTGTGTAAACTAGTATAAGTTTATTTAATAGCTTTGATGGCAATATCTAAGTTATATGTGTATTAAATTACCAATTCTTCAAATTTCTCCAGCAATAAGGATTGCTTGAATTTTCCATCTATACATGTTTCACTTGTGATGACAATAGTTATGTTAATCACATTTCCTCCAATGTCTGTGAAGTACGAGAAAAAATATTACTAAGGGATTTGCTCAATCTTTCTATTGATACAGGTATTCAACTTGAAAACCAGGGTTTTGTGAAAACTTTAAGACCATTCTAAGATAATTTAACCTCAGAGACAATTGAGATGTCTGTTGCTTTCAGTAAGTGGCTTGTTACAAGAGCAACTGGAATTTCTGCCATAGCCTACATGATCCTGGGCACTGGTAAAATTCTCATCACATTTCTCATTGGTGGATTGTGTTGATTGCTTGTAAAATTAAAAATTGTGTTGTTGTCCTTTTTTTTGAGTATGAACAAGAGAAACGGTGTGACGAAATTTTGAAAATGTTCTTATACTGAAGCAAAACAATGGAAGGGAAAAGTCAGTTGCTCATATCAAAGTGACCTTTTGCTTTCAAATTCAAGTGCATGGCATTGAGGAAAATACAGAGAGGCCACAAGGTGTCATTTGGCTTCTCTTCCTTTAATTTCAACTTTATGTAAATGATGCACACCAAAAAATATCAAGGTCCTAAGTACTTCAGCTTACAATTCAAACTACAAGATGAAAGAACTAAATCTTCATTTCCATTTTCCCAAAATAACATCCCACACAATTACAATTTTTCCTGTACCTTGTCAGAAGCCCTGACTATACATGTAGTTTTTTCCCTACTTTTGATACTCACCATCTGAAGTTTAATTACTGCATGGCTTTCTTTGAATTTTACATCTAATAAAATAATCACTATTGTACATGTACATTCTAATTATTTAAAGAAAACAGAGTTATCCACCAAGACAAGGTAAAGGCACTATTAAAGCTTTAACAACCTGACAGGGTAACCCCTGGTTCAACTCTGAGAACCCAATCAAAATGTCATGTTGGTACTTGTCTGAAGGTACAGCTGTTCAATGCATGAATACAATGTACATGTGACTCACAAACATTAGCGGTTTTTGAATCAACTCCAAGTGCATTGGCAACTCTGCAGGTATAGTTGGCATCATTAAAGACTTGTGAAGTATGAAGAGTGTTCTTGTCACAAACTTGATCTGAGTCACATGGAATCCAAGTGAAAGTAGGTGGAGGGTTTCCTTCTGCTTCACAATTAAGAGTTACACTTTTCTGTACACCAACAAAATAATCAGTTTGAAATTTAACAATCTTGGGTGGATCTGTACATCAATTAGGAAAAAAAAATCAAATTAAAAAAAAAAACAGCAAAAAACAAATAAGCACTAAGTAAATTGTTACCAATAGCTAAAAAGTACATCCAAGAGGTAATTGTTCATCTAGTCTCTTGTTCTGAAGACTGAATTGATTTACATGTGTGTGCATATAGTTCTACAGCATGTGTGTGCAAGTAACATCAATGGGCATGTGCATGCGTGTAACATCAATGTGTATGTGTGTGCATGTAACATCAATTAGGTAATCTTCTTGCATTCATGAATGTACGTTTATTTGTCTGAGCTTTAAATAAAATGGATTTAAATTACTTTAACATTCATCAACTAATCTTTAGTCCTCATCCTTTCACACTCCCAAAACCATAGAGGTGATACTTCAAATATTTTTAAGCTTATTTCTACTTGTACAAATAATGGAGCAGTATAGCTTCTAAGCACACTTAAAGTTTATACTAAGAGAGGCAAGTGAAAACTTCTGAATACCTGGATGTAAACCACACATCAATCCGAGTAAATGACAGCACACATTACAGCAAAAAGGTAAATAGAAAGTACCCATCCGTTTAGCATCATAATAAAAGTTTTTTCATTGCATACTCACAAGTGACATTCACATGAACTGTTTGGCTATCTACTTCTCCAAAACCATTAGATGCTGCACAGTTGAAAGTTCCTGAAGCATTCCTGCTTATTTTCTTTATAGTCAGCACCTTTCCTTCTTGTAGCACACCTGTATTTCCTTGGTTCCCTGTCTTCTCTTTGGTCCAGGTGATGTTTGGTTCTGGTTTACCAAATGCTTCACATGTTAACTGCAAGTTGCTACCTTCATGAACAGTTTGTTCACCTCTAATTTCAGTGATATCTGCGGGAACTAAGAGCAGAAAATCACATTGAAAAAAAATTGAATACACTTCAAAGACAATTCTTAATTGTATTATGTGGAAGGTATCAGGTGAGAAAATTTACACAACAGCCCACCTTGATCTGCCAAAAATTGTCCTGATGAGAAGGTATGGGATAGCAACCTTAATTAATTTTTGTTTCTTGAGGATAAAGTTGTCAGAATTGAATTTTGTGTGGCAGACTGTGTTGAGACTGAAACTAGGAAGTGACACTTTTTTGTCATGGTTTAGGTTTTCTTTCTTTTTGACACCTTGTGTTGTTTACATAGTCCTACACTTAATCATATGACAGAAAAAAAAAAAAAACAAAAAAGCGAGTTTTCTTGCACGTGTTTGTAGCGTCATTGAATTTGTAGCGTCTTTTTCGACTTCGTGTAGCACAGAATGTAAGTAATTTTGTCCTGAGCTTCCTTTTAGTCATCGTTTAAGTCCATTTGTCATTTGATTTATTTTTCTTTAGTTTTCAGCATTCTATTTCCTTCGATCGACCCCGAACCACTTTCGTAATTCGCAAGGGAATAATGTAAACATTTGAAAGGTGTCGTTTCTATTATGCCTACACAACGGACTATGCTGAAAATCTTTATTACCTTCATCTTTGTGCATGAGCCAAACTATTTTGAGTGGTATTAAAGTAACTTGGAATTCAGGAAAGTTTTTCTACAAAAAGGCATTTCTAACATCCTTAATTCCATCAAATTCCACAAATTCCATGGCACTGAGGAAAATAAAAGGTTTTTTTCTCAGATTATGTGTAGAGTCCTATATATCAAATGTGGAAATTTCAAGTCCTTCCACATAATCTGTCCACTAATATTTAAAACAAAATTCAATGAATTTAGCCTTCAGTACCACCTTAAATCGACCCATGATCTGAAATCCTAGACTAAAGGGAATTAACTCTACTGCAAATATGTTGGCCAAAATCCTGACTTATGTCTCACAATTTTTTCCACAGTTTTGATCAACAATAAATGTTTTGATAAGTGTGAATCTACCCGAACTGACTAAAACTATGTGTGAATCTTCTGAATTTGGGTATGAAAGGACTGAATATGAAAGGTCCATGGATACAACTGCATTAGAAACAAAAAAATCCTTTTTGAGTCATTACTCAGACATATTTCAACTGATTGTTTTCTGTGTGTCAAAGTCTTCATGGTGTTGTCCAAAATGAAAACCACTTAAGTGAAAAAGATGTCTTAACTTTATTGCCAAATAACAGTCCGTAAGTCTGATATTATAAATCACTGTTTCTTTGAGTGACATTACTAAAAATTACAGGTGACACTACTCTTGTTTTTGGTGAAATGACATTAGGCCAGATGACTTTTGGGAAACTTGACCAGTTATTAAGTACCTAATGAGTGTTTACCACCCAAACTCAATAGAAATGGCATTGATGATTCCATATTGTTTTGGTTTAGCCACTTTTTGAAGAGCAGACAACAGACAGTTGTGATATGTGGAGCCTACACTGTAACCCAAAAGGTCAACTGAAAAAAACAAGAGTGCCTCAGGGTCTATCATTGGACACATCTTGTTCTTCACTTACATAAATGAAATACCAAACATCGTTACATCCTCAATTAAATTGTTCACAGATAAGACAACATCTATTGCTAACAAAGCTATGGAAATGAAATATCAGTGCTGCAGTAGGACCTGGACTCTTAAGATAACTAAAGGAGGAGTTGGCAAGTTAACTTTAACCCCCCAAAATGCGATGTTAAGAGAATGACCCACAAGCAGGATAAAAGTAAACATCAGTACCATCTGTAAAACCTAACGTTAAAATCCGTCGACTTCTATGAGGAACTATGTGTCATCCTGTAAAGAGATTTATCCTTGACAATTCACTTAGATGTGTCAGCAAACAAGAAGAACAAATACTAGGCTCACTGAAGCATACAGTTAGCAGTAGGTACACAGAGAGATTTTCTTAAACCTTTATAGATCACTAGTAAGACCTCTCCTAGAATATTCATGTCCAGTAAAGTCACCCTACCTGATTAAAGAAAAACTACATGTAGCCATTAAAAAAAATACAATGAAGAGCATCAAAAATAGCTCTTGGTCAAAACCACAAGAGATGTCATGTAAAGAGAGATGCAAATTATTGGGTTGGAGCACATTTAAGTGTTTAAGAGAGTACTTCCCTTTAGTAGAATGTTATATGGCAGTTAATAAATTAAGTTACCTTCACACCATATACAGTGCCTTCAAACACTCCTTCTTTGTGAGGGTCATCAAGGAATGAAACAAGTTGCCTAACCACCTTTTGTGAAATGATGGATGAACATCTGAATTTTTTGTAGTACTTCAGAGCCATTTTTATGTATGTTCTATGCATAGATTTTGAACTTTAAAAATGTAGTACATAGATTTTAACAAATTCAAACCTCCTGTAATCAACCACCTGAAATTTGCAAGTCTAAGTGGTCACTTATGGAAGGGGGGTCCATATTTCAGGTAATTTACACATGGTGACCACCCCATGTTGTCCGCACTTCTTGAAAGCTATACTAATAACTTTCAGCAGCTTATTCAAAGGAAAAGAATCTTATGGTGATTTATTTGTATCCCAGAAAATACTGTTTGGGACAATTCACACAAAAGAAACTTAGCTCATTTGTTATTTCAGTCAAGATGTAAAGCTAATTTGGGTGGCAATTTTCTGTTTCCACTTACTTGAGATAAATAATATTGTCTGTACAATGGTTGCCTACCAGAGGTAAAAAAAAAAGAATATTGAAAATAGGGATCTCTTAGGTTGGTCACTTCTGAGAGGTGGTCCCTTGTGGAAGGTTCCACTGATAGATCTGACTTAGAACCTTTGGCATTTTGAAAAAGTGGTTACTACCAAGAGGTCCTCAATTACAATGTGTGGTTTCAAAGGGAGGATTGACTGCAGTAAAATCGGTTTCTTACAGTTTGTAAGAGGCTCTTTTTATAACGCTAAACTTAAGGCCTTCCCTTTCAAATGCTGTATGATTTTTAAACATATTTGTAATTCAGTAAGGTATTTTTATCAAACAGCAAAAGTGAAACTCTGCATGTGCAACAATATTGCCTCTGTCTGTAAAGATAAGGATCCTCCAATTCTCATTAAAATCCTTGCAAAGTCCTTTGTTATAATCCTTCAAGATCCTCAAGAACAGAGCAAGATCTTTGCTAAGATCCTCAAGATTAAATTTTTGATTGGGATCTTGCAAAGATCTTTGTCCAGGTCATGCAACTCTTCACATGGCTTTCCACCTATATGTTTGAAGACCTAGTTTGAAAAGCATGTCATCAACGTCTCCTGTCCTTGGGAGGGGGCACATTTCAAGTCATCCACTAACATGAGAACATGAATGGCATCAATTCACAAGGAAAAAATTGAGACAGTGACACAAGCTCAAATTTGCCATTAGTCTCTTGGATTTAAAAAGAATAATTTTCAATTACAGCAAAAGCTGAAAACTACTCAAAAAATGACAACTAACTAATCTTTAACTATAACACGGGGCAAGGACTGTTACTAATCTTTAAAGTATATTTTAGATTGGGAAACAAAAAAAGGGAGGTGGTGGAACACAATTCTCCTTGTTTAAAACTGCTTGGGGCCTGAGTCACAAACAGATGCTTGCAACAATTTGGCTTACGACCTTCAAACACACCAGATAATGATAGTGAGGCACTAGAAGAAATATTGCATAAAATTATTTCATTTGCTTCTTTCTCATTCAGCAACTATGTAAAATCTACAAACAACTACTACAACCTGCAAAAAAATCTATTGTAAAATGTAATTGTAAAATATCATGAAGCGTATCCCACAAGAACGAACTCCCCAATTATGTGATTAAAAAAAAGGTATGATAACATTTAATGTTGGAGGGTCAGTTACCTTGATGGCCCAATATTGCAAAATTTGGAGAAATGTTTTTGCTAATACTGGGAAAAAGATTTAAGTAAAAAACCGTTACTTGTACCAATTTTGCGTACAACCTTCAAGCACTCCAAAGAATGATGGCGAGGCAGAGTAGAAGAAATATTGCATCAAACCATTTCATTTGCTTTTTCGAATTATGGTCAAGTCGCCGATGGTTCAACTCACCAACACCAACTCGCCGACGCATAAAATCGAGCAGAGACGTCGGCGACTTGGTCTTCAATCCAGTACAACTTATTAGAAGTTAAACATATAGAAAAGTAAAAGATCTTTAGTAAAAAACATTTTTTTTTTCCAACAAAGTTTATATGGATCTCATGACGAATAAAGCAAGGTAACCATCGCCAATGACTATAAAAGCTTCAGAAGCGAACGAGATTTATTGTGTGACTACAACACTGTAAAGACTCATCATGTCAATCGGTCAGATTTTTTTAAAGAAAACTTGGCTTTCTAGACAAGATCTTCTGTAAAAAACAATTCTTTTTATTTCCAACAAAGTTTATGAGGATCTCAAGGCGAATAAAGGAAGGCAAACATCGCCAATGACCAAAAAAAACTTTGGACGCGAGCGAGATAATGTGTAACAAAAACACCGTAAAGACTCATCATGTCAATCGGTCAGATTTCTCAAAAATACTTAGCTTTCTAGAGAAGATCTTTAATAACAACAATTCTTTTTATTTCCAACAAAGTTTGTAAGCATCTCAAGGCGAATAAAGCGAGGTGAACATCGCCAATGACCAAAAAGCTTTAGACGCGAAAGAGTTATTATTACTCGTTCGCGTCTAAAGCTTTTTTGGTCATTGGCGATGTTTACCCTGCTTTATTCGCCTTGATATCCTTATAAACTTTGTTGGAAATAAAAAGAATCGTTTTTTTTTCACCAAAGATTTTGTCTAGAAAGCAGGTTTTTTAAAAAAAAATCTGACCGATAGACATGATGAGTCTTTACAGCGTTGTTGTCACACAATAACTGGATCGGTAGTTACTAAAACAAGGAATGACCTAAAATGATCTAAAATGACCTAAAATGATCTAAAATGACCTAAAATGATCTAAAATGACCTTGAGGGATTTCTAAAATGACCTACAACCTTGACACAATTGGCACATAATTTGTGCCAATTGGAAAATATCTTTCAGAGTAAATAGTTGTTTTATATTTACATGAAACATTATTTTGCATTGATAAAAGGTATAGAATTGGCTAGTATTCAATATTGATTAATGTTTAGCTCATTTAAATAAAATTGGCGTTTTGTTATCTTCATTTCCTGTTGTCCATGTGAGACCATTTAATTTAAGGTGTCACCTCTTTTGATTTATTCACATTCTTTCGTGTATGCAGACTGCTTTCCAATCAGAAGCCGACGGTGGCTCTTCTTTTCCCTTCTTTTCATGGGTTTTACCGATAGTTGGATAATACATGTAGGGACTCAAGAGAGAATGTGAATCTTTCTTATCTCCCGCGGGCGAAAGATCAGTATCAGCTAGTGATATCAGCCGAGTGTAGTCTGGGCAGGAAAATCTCGCAAAGCGGATGGCTCAGTCCGAATTTTTGCGCTGCACCTCGGCAAGTTCCTCCAAGCTTACGTTAATATTCCTTCGTTCAGAAGTAAGCCAGTAATCATCGATAATTTTCTCCAAAATGTTCCGAAATCTTGGGTAGTATTCGAGTCATCTTCGGTCTTATGATATTCACGGCACCTAAGTTCTGCGTCACAGCCGTTCAGGTAAGCACTCAGATCGCGCATTCAGTTCTATTGTTCTGTTGTGTATCGCTGGCAATTACTATTTTAAATTGTTCCAGTGACCGCATTTCAGACGATTTTAGACAGTGTAGGTTATTTTCGATCATTTCAGGTCATTTAAGGTCATTTTTGACATCACTTCGGGTCATTTTAGCTCATTTTAGCTCATTCCTTATAGTAACTACCTGACTCGATCGTTCGCGTCTAAAGCTTTTTTGGTCATTGGCGATGTTCATCTTGCTTTATTCGCCTTGAGATACTTATAAACTTTGTTGGAAATAAAAATAATTGTTTTTCACTTAAGATTTTGTCTAGAAAGCCAAGTTTTCTTAAAAAAATCTGACCGACTGACATGACGAATCGTTACAGTATTGTTGTCACACAATAATTATAGTCATTGGCGATGTTTATCTTGCTTTATTCGCCAAGAGATCCTTATAAACTTGTTGGAAGAAAAAAAATTTTTTTTTACTAAAGATCTTTTACTTTTCTATATGTTTAACTTTTAATAAGTTGTACTGGGTTGAAGACAAACTCGCCGACGTCTCTACTCGATTTATACTTCGGCGAGTTGGCGTTGGCGAGTTGAACCGTCGGCGACTTGACTGGATACCGCTTTTTCCTCATTCATCAACAACGTAAAATCTACAAACTACAACTACCATGTTCTAATTTTCAAACTGCAATCTGAAAAAAAAACATTTACTGTAAAACATCATGAAGCTTATCTCACAAGAACGAATTCCCCAATTATGTGATCAAAAAAAGGTATGATAACATTTCCTGTCGGAGGGTCAGTTTCCAGTTATAACATATTTGCTACATCTAAGAGTTATGTAATCCTCCACAATTACCCAACAATCACAAGATTTTATTTTCTTCCTCACACCCTCAGAGATGCACTGCTACTTGTGCATATACAGTTAACATGAACCACGATGCACATTCTCTTGTGGAATAAGCAAAATGTTTCAAAATGTAGTTGAATTAGGCATACACATACACATACACAAGCATTATACAGAGTAAACCAACAAAATGAACTCTCACCTTTTATGACTACAAGAATTACATCCTCCCAAATATTCCTATCAGTGACCACCCTGCATGTGATTTTCTCTCCATCAGCAGCTGTTGTATTGTAGATTATCAATGTGGCACGATCATTAGGACTGATGTTAAATTGTCCTTGAAAGGCCGGAAGTAATGTAACAGCTCCAGATGAAGCTTTAGTCCCGATTTTGTCAGTGGCACCTCTACTCCATGACACAAAAGCAAGTAATTCACCAGATAAAGTAAAGTCCCATTCCAAACGCAACTCAGGAGATCTACCATCGAAAACTTTGACTGTTGTTCGAACTGAAACGTCTGAATTGCTAACTGGACGTTGTGGAAGGGGAAGAGTCCATATGATGGTTGGATCTACAGCACCAAGAAAGTGACCAGTTAATATAACATACAGTGAGGTCAGGTTATCTGTTTGAACATTGCAATATCATTATATTACAATCAAACACAAACAACCATTTGCCAAGAGGGATGAATTCAAAATAGACATTAACAATGTACTCATACTCATACAATTGTACACACATAATAAGTAAAAAATTGTCAATAATAAAATCATTCACCAACATTTCATGTTGGAGGGTCAGTTACCTTGATTTCCCAATATTGCAAAATTTGAAGAAATGTTTTTGCTAATAGTGAGAAAAAGATTTAAGAAACAAACCGATACTTGTAACAATTTTGCTTACAACATTCAAGCACTCCAAAGAATGATGGCCAGGCAGAGTAAAAGAAATATTGCATCAAATCATTTCATTTCATTTCATTTTTTCTCATTCATCAACAATATTAAATCGACAAACTACAACTATGTTTTAATTTTCAAACTACAATCTGAAAAAAAAAAACACTTACTGTAAAACATCATGAAGCTTATCTCACAAGAATGAATTTCCCAATTATGTGATCAAAAAAAGGTATGATAACATTTCCTGTCGGAGGGTCAGTTTTCAGTTATAATATATTTGCCGCATCTAAAAGTTGTGTAATCCTCCACAATTACCCAAACAAGATTTTATTTTCTTCCTCACACCCTCAGAGATGCACTGCTACTTGTGCATATACAGTTAACATGAACCATGATGCACATTCTCTTGTGGAAGAAGCAAAATGTTTCAAAACGTAGTTGAATTAGGCATACACATACACAAGTATTATACAGAGTAAACCAACAAAATGAACACTCACCTTTTATGACTACAAGAATTGCATCCTCCCAAATATTCCTCTCAGTGACCACCCTGCATGTGATTTTCTCTCCATCAGCAGCTGTGGTATTGTAGATTATCAATGTGGCACGATCATTAGAACTGATGTTAAATTGTCCTTGAAAGGTGGGAAGTAATGTAACAGCTCCAGATGAAGCTTTACTCCCGATTCTGTCAGTGCCACCTCTTCTCCATGACACAAAAGAAAGTACTTCACCAGATAAAGTAAAGTCCCATTCCAAACGCAACTCAAGAGATCTACCATAAAAAACTTTGACTGTTGTTCGAACTGAGAAGTCTGAATTGCTGACTGGACCACGTTGTGGAGTGGGAAGAGTCCATGTTATGGTTGCATCTACAGCACAAAGAAATTAACCAGTTCATATAACATACAGTGGGGTCAGGTTATCTGTTTGAACATTGCAATATCTTTATGTTTCAATCAAACACAAACAACCATTTGCCAAGAAGGACGAGTTCAAAATAGACATTAACAATGTACTCACACTCATACAATTGTAAATACATAATATGTAAAAAATCGTCAATAATAAAATAATTCTCATGAAGTTCAACATAAACACAATCTATTTGTTCTCTACTGGAAAGATGAAACCAGTCTACAGTATGTGAAATTATGAAGATAATTGCTACTCAAAAAGCAAAACATTGAGGTACACGTAGCTATCTGTTAGCATTTTTTTCTCAGGTACACCCTTAAGACAACTTAACTTGTGGTACTCGAAGCATGTAAGAAAATTTTTATGAGGACTCTGCTATGCAAATGATCACTCCCTCACTCACTCACTCACTCACTCACTCAAGTGTAGACACTGTGATAATTAGTTGTTTTAAACTTGCCTAAGCATAATGCCATTATCTTGGAAAAATAACCATGCAAAAATGACAACCAGGCTTGTTACAGTTTAAACTTAGCATTGTTGCTTTAAATGCCACTTTAGAGTGAACAAAATAATATTTAGATAGCACTTTAGCAGACAAAAACCCAGATCCTGTGCTAATCTGACTAAAGCAAACTAGGGATATTCATTGCCCCGTATCTCTATTCTCAGTCAATTACAAAAACTTGTGTTCACATAAAATGCATTCTGGAAGCAAAAGAAACCTTGTAAACAAAGATCATTGTGTTACAATGCAAATATCTATTAAGTGACTGTGAGGTGAAACCTGACATACATGTATAAATGGAAAATAGTTTGTGCAGGCAGGGAAAGATTTGGCTCACAGTGTTTACATTTGATGAATTTTGCTCACAGAAATTTGATAAACTCAAGATATTGTTTTGTACTGTTTATGTAGACTACCAAGGTATACAATTTATTATTCTCTGCAGTTGGATGGTTACCATCATTCTGGATTTTTCGAGGGTTGTCCAATACACCCAAATTGAGTCGATTTGTCAAAGGTAGCCTTTGAATCCGCCTACTGGAAGTCAATTTGCAGTTATGGCGTCCCATATCAAGGTAATCTGAATAAACTGTTCCTCTTGAGGTAAAAAGTCATAGCCATACTAAAAAATTGCTTTGCAAGACACTTGATATATATTCTGTAAGTGGCTAAGAGGGAGGGTTAGGAATGTTGTTGATGACTCGTCCCAGTTGAAGTCTACCTGTTATAACAGAAGTCCATTTGCAATATATTCTGCAAGTTTCTGCAAAGGAGGTTTCAAAATGTTGGCTACTCGACTTGTCATTCCACTCTATTCAGACCATTCACCACAGCTGAAATGAAGTCATCACATTAGAAGTTGATTTTCTGGACACTATAAATATTCTGCAAGTGGCTAAAAGGGTGGGTTGAAAATGTTGTTGATTTTACTTGAATAAGACCACTGGTCTTACTTGAAGTTGACCTGTCACATTGGAAGTCGATTTGCAAAAGACTAATAAATATGTTTCACAAGTTGCTACAAGATTCAGGAAGATGCATAAATAATGATTGCATTGAACACCCTAAGCAAAGGGAGGAGAGAAAATTTGTCAGCTTCTCAAATGTGTGATAAATTTCTTATCAAAAGGGCTCTGAAGTTGTAACTGCACCAAACAATCAGAAACCACCAAGCACAGCATGGTAATTCTTTACCTGTCATGGTAAGTATCTACAGGCAACTATAAAATTCTGGCATGACAAAAAAGTGACCATTGCTTTCCATAAATTACAGCAGCATTGAGATTGTATTGAGAAATATTCATTACCTCTCTACATGTAAAATAATTGAGCAGAGGAAGGAGATTTTCAGAAACATTAATCAAGATGCCTTCATTCCTTTGAAGATGTGGCTTTCAGAAGCGAGACAGCTATTTTGTTGCTTCCCTGATCTGATTTGTACACTTTTTCTACTCTCTAGCACTTTCTCATCATGGTAGCTTTCACCAAAAAGATAACAACAGAGAAGTACAGACGCAACCATTTCACAATAGTAGGTATTACATTTTACAGTAGTAGGTAATATATTTGGCAACTTAAATTTCCACAAAAGTCACTAATTGGTGACCAACAGATTTGAAAAAAGAAAAAAAAGGAAAACAAAAATCAATCCTTGGTTGAATTATCAAACCGACAAACACACAAACACACAAACTGATCCCTAACTTTCAGATACACTGTGCCCATAAAGGTGAAATGAGCAGTGATCAATTTGAACTGATTTTGTCGATATAAACTCCATTTTAATTAATTAATTAACTGACAGTAGATGCAGCATGTACCTTTTGGGAAAGGAGCAAGATAATGATCTGAGAGATCCTTGGCAACACAAGCAGCATTTCACAAAGCTATTCCACTGTTGAGAACTTTTTCAGTGTCTCTGCAAAAGAGAATGCTGAGCCACCTCCCACGCTGCCATCACAGAGGAGTTTGAATGGCAGTCCTGTAACTCCAGTTGATACAGTAACAAGGAGTACTTGTACAGATGTAGGTGCAAGTAGAGGCAACTTTTACCATTTACATCACTTAGAAATAAAGGGTTCTTAACTTTGATTTGAGGGATTTAAGGACTGCAAGGCTGGGCTTCTGCTATATACATGTGGATTCACCCTTTTTGCTACCTTCCAATTCAAAACTTTCACTGAAACAATCAATAAGCATGTTTCAACTAATCAATACAACCTCTTGTATGAGTAATTTATCATGTCAAATAAAGAAAAAGATTAAAATAAGACATTTCAGGCACTATAGAAACACACAAAATCTTCAAAAGGAAGAAGTGGTATATACTACATGAATATCTGTTATTCTGAACACCTTCAACTTTTTGGCTAGCTTTTTTTCAATCATCGCACTAGCATGTTCCAACATTAACATTAAACATTTTATAAAAATTTCAGTTTTTGACAGTCACAATAAAGTCATCTTGTCTATTCTTCATTTTTTTTTCTCTTCTTTTGTTTTGTTTCTTGAGATTTTCTCCTTTTGTAAACCCTGTAGCCAGTAATGTAACTGCTTGTATTGTGTATATGTTTATAATCTATCAAATATTTTTGCTTGTCAGAAATTTTTCTAGACACATCATGTGACTGAAAACTCCCCAGCTAGAACAGAGGAATATCCACAGATAATTCCAAATTTTCAATATGATAATATGCAACATGATAAGTTTCTGTTTAACTTTTAATTTAATACAAGTGAGCATCTTGAGGACTTACAGAAAAGAGACATGTCTGTTTATAAAGTTATGCCACAGAACAAGGAAGAGTGAACATTTGACACTGACTGGTTAGCTGTTTGTTTTTGATTATCTTAGAACAGAAAATGTCCATGAACAAATATCTGGGCACATTTCCATACCAGATTGAGGTTATTGGTTGTACAATAGTAATGTAGTCTCGTGATTTAAATAAGTGTAGTAATGTAAGTTATTTTTAACTTAGTGCATGCCAGTTTTGGAAAAAATGCAATAAAACCTTGTAAGTAGAGGCTACTTGTGTAAGTAATGTTAGTGTTGCAAGTTACGTTTTGTGGACTGGATAATAATTTTAAAAAAATGAGATAAAAGAAATAAAAGGTCGACTTTAGCAAGTAAGAAATATTTTCTAAAGCTAAGCAATCAAGTTGCATTATCTGCTATCACACAAAAAATACTCTCTTAAGCTCAAACACTGACATATTTATCACCAAACTATGCGCAAGTCTCAAATGTCTCGTAAATTTTTAAGTGCTATAGAAGGAAAGAGAAAATGAAAGTGCACCCTGATGTGCTGCATATTTACAAAAATGTAGGCTTCCAAGTGTCTTGTATTAATATCTAAAGGAAAATATCATCGGCCCTTGTAGATAAAGCTGAAAAATAGCACAGATCAGCAGATATCCATTTTCTTATTCATCCAGCTCCAAATTCTTCTCAATAATTTACTGTTATTTTACTCCTCGATTATGAAAGAAAATGTTTCTTAGCTCAGACTTCAATACCCCTTTTAATAGAAATTCATGAGAAAATTTGAGCAAGGTTAAGTAATGGGAGGAAAAGGTAAAGCTTGGAAGAGGAGTCATCCTCGGCGCCACATTCAAACTTACGCTTACAGTTCAGTAGAATATTACTAGTAAATATCAACTTGATATTTCTAGACATGCTAGCGTTCACAAATTCGTCTCACTTGGCACGGACTTAATCAGTAGCAGTAATAATCAAACGTGCATAAATCACTTTTTTTTCTTTTTGAGTTCGGCGACCTAATGTAACGACACAAACTGCATGGAAGTTTACCCAAAGTAGTTTGAGCTGAGAACTGAAGCTGATGAAACAAGACGTTCCCTTCTCAAACAATACAAAGATTTTTATGATTAAGAGAAGATACTCACCTACTTTCCAGACGAAGAACTGAACATTAACGAGCAGAAACGAATACCATATCACTGAAAACGACTCCATAACTTGTAATCATCCAGAATTCTGTCTACCACGGTTTCCAACGGAGGAATAAACAAGGAAGTGTGCACGAAAAATTCCAATTCCCACTAGTGCGCAGTATGGACTGGCCACAGCATATCTGGGGAGTACGTCATGGGACAAGCTATGAAGTGTCCCTACTACTTCCATACCGGAAATGGTAGTAAATAACCCAAATGTCACATCCTGACTCTTGTATAAAATCGTAATGCTAAATATTGAAAATCCTGTTATTTCCTGGACTAAAAAATGAATGAAAATAAATGTTCGGCCATAAACTAGACAGTCCAATTTTCCCGGGTCGTGAAATAATTTATTCGTGAAATACTATCCATTCCATATTATAAATAATCGAAACTAATTAAGATGTTTTGCTAATTATGATTCGCCGCGTTGAATAAATATGACAATTTACAGTGAAATAGAATTTTTTATTACACTAGTAATATTATCCAGTCGCTGCCATAACTTGGTTGGGTAATTACATTCTTAGGGCGAGTTCTTTGTAAAACCGACCAGTTCGCCAGTATCAGGAAAGAAACCCTCGAAGACTAACTCGTCCGCCTTTCTTTCGCATTGGCTAGCATGACTTGCTCAATGACAAGTTCCTCTGAGGGCCAACAATCCAAACTTTAATTTGCCCTTGCGGTGCTGTAAAGAAAAATACTACTGAGATAGAAATTTCCGCGTCTTGAGATCGAATAAAATGGAAGAATATGTTTAATAGAAAATTATCTGTATATATACATCATTCTTTCATTTTCGGTACCATGTCGCTCACGCGCCGGAAGACTCTCTCATTCGTGAAAGTGATAACGAAAGCTCATGACTTTTAACCATTTCACGCCCAAGAAGTCTAAGGCAAAGGAATACCTCAAAAGCCAACGTAATCATGATGATACTTTCATCTAGATTGAGGGTGTAACAGCTGTGGACTTTCATGCACAAGATTTGCTCTATCTACGCAGCCCTGCTGAGAACGCTATACTTGAAGTCTCTTTAAGTTACAAAGACTTTAAAGTGCAAGAAAACATTTTGAGAAGGTTACCATTTCCAAATAGAGAGCATTATGTTCCTGGCAGCCTCTGTTTGGTAAGCCCAAAGCTGTTTTAAACTAATCTGGCAGTTAACGGTGGCCTAATTGAGATAGATCTTGATACTGGACAGCATTGTGAAATGTTCCATAGCAGTGCTCTTTTCACGTTGCGGGGGATGGCCAATATAGACTTTACGATCTAATTTTTAGCCATCAAGAGTTCGAAAGAGGCGACAAATAGTATTTGCTTCTCCCTGTTAGCTCCAGAGGGACAACGCCTTATTATGACTGTTAGTGTCAAAAATTCAGGTGAAACAGAGGAAGTAGAATCCCAGCACTCTGGAACTAGGTTAAGGAATGGCTGTAATCAATAGAATCAATAGGAACTGAGTGAACCCTTTCAATTTTTTAAAATTGTTTTTTCTTTATTTTAATGACATAAATATTGTTAATATAGTTTAATGACGCCAGCACGTGCTAGCATCATGTTACATTGTACACTCGCTTAACATTGTTTCAGTTCGATCGCTTAGCTGTTTGCCTACATTTATTCTACCTTTATCGACGTCAGCTCGATCTCCACGATTTTGCAGCAATGGAAAAACACTGCGAAGGACTTAAAGAAGTGGACCCTGGTATGTTTGTCGACATACAATGTTGCCCATTGGAGATATTTGCAAAAAAAAAAAAAAAAAAAGAAACCAAATTGTTACTTTTTCCGAATAGTTGCGTGACACAGTTAATGATTAACGTTAAGGAATTGTTTCCTCGAGGTTCAAAAAACCATTAGACTTAATAAGATTAAAATCCATCGCATTCTGTTAGTGTGACAGAAATGCCTTGGAAGTGCATTTTTCGAGCCAATTTTAGCCTTTTACTCCTGGGATTTGATGTGGGGGCTCTAATACCCCAGGGATTAAGCGGGAGCCCGAACTTCTTCGAATTCTTAAATAACTTAGTGGCCCTCATAAACTGTGAAAGTTTGAAAGAAATCGGTGAGATGGTATGTGTCACCCCTGCCCGAAGCATTCAAATTATGATTTTCTAGAAATGTCGCTCAGTGCCTCAGCTTTTACGCTAAGTTTGTCTCTCACAGTCTCCGGTGGGAACTTTTTCAATAATCTTGCGGGTATGACAAATTTTCCTAAGCTCCGCCTCCTCAAACAACGTAGCACACGAGCGGTGTGTTAAAACCACTCGTTCGTAAAATACACGAATTACCGCGCATTTTAAAACTGGTGTTGGTGCATCAGCTGGTTCATGTAACACTTCTCCACGCGCACAAAATCCTACAATCCTACTCAACCTATCTGTGCTATTTGTAATCCAGGAATGAAACTAGCCTTACTCCCAAGAGAAATCGCACGAGCGGCATCTAAGGACGATGGCTAATAATTTTTAAGAAAAATAAAGCTAACGCGATCCAGAATCCAAAATAGTGTACCGTTTGGCTAAACAAAGCAATTGCCACCTCTTACATATCAACCAAACCTTGAAAACTGAGAAATAAGAAGTTTAATTAGTGGACTGTGTCGTATTTGGGTCGGTGGAAAGTGCATATAATCGATTTGATTAATGTACAATAAATGAGATGAATGAAAGATATGAAGCAAATGCGGTATCAAATCGTGGCAGTCATGGATACCTTGGCTCCAAGCTTGAAACATATGTCTCCAGACTACTCTCTGTCTGCAGCAACCTTAACATAGAGGCAAGATTGACTGAATGCTATCCTACCTCACCAAAACCTTTCAGCGGATACGTAACCATGAAAGAATCTTAAGACATGTCGCAATGGAACCTATCGGTTCTGACAATACTGACAAGTTTAAGTCTCCTTCGAGCATTTTTCCATATTTTACTCTGTAATTTAATGGAGCCATTGGTGTGACTCTTCAATTTCAGCTTTATGTAAACAAGTTTGAATTTAAGGCCAATTACGAGTAAGAAGCTACACGTTTACAGAAAAAACTGCGCAAGACAATAAACGAGTGATAGATGACAACAAATGTGCACGTTTAAATCTTTAGTCAACGTTTGTGTACAACTGCTCGTCTTACATTTTCATGCTTGTCAGCCTTTGTGGGAAAAGGAAACAAAATAATGTGAATATCAAATTGAGTGCGCTCTTGCATATTGTTTAGGTAAACTGACTTTCTCAGCTCATGAAATGTGATTAATGTGAAGGTTGTATCTCGTGGTAGAACTTATCAGCGGTATACGATAACTACCCACCCTTGTCCACTTCAAGGAATGCTGGTTTCGTAACCAAAAACGAGTCAATCGAATGAATTTTAATCAGGTGACATTAATACAAGCGAATAAAGGAGTAGATTTGTCGGGAAATGGTGGTGCTCCGTCAGTTGGGGGAAAGGGAATATAAAATATAATTTTTTACCAACTCAGTTGATAATGCAAATTGGTCACCATAAAGAGCCTCTAAAGCTGAAGTTTCGAGCCTATGCCCTCGTCACTCGCTTTGACACTCTTTAAGAAAGCCAATTTACATAACAACTCAGTTGATAAAAAGAAATTGTTTTGTTCAGTTAATATAGACAGTAGCTTGAATGTAAACTGTTGATTTACAAAGGTTATTAAGGGGTTAAGCCTTGATCCACCCCTGGTAAAAATCAATTTTGTTATGATTATCACTAGTCTCACCTTGTGTTGGGTTTCCATGTCCTTAAGCTGATTTCTCAATGCAGTGAATGTTGGTCTAGCATTCGGATCATTTTGCCAGCAGCTCATCATGATCTGGTACCTGGTATTTATAAAGTGGGAAACGTTCAATAAACAAAAAAACAAGGAAAAATAATAAGAAATAAGATTTTTTGTTCGCAGAAACAGTTAATTTTGATATCGCCCTCGTGTATTATCAACAATGTCGTAAGGACAATCTTTATAGAAGAAAGGAAATGAACAGCTTACAGCTTCTCATCCTCGGATTGTGGTTTAGACATTCTGTAATCCTGCTGAAGTAACTTTGCAATTTTCCTGTCATTCATTCGTGGATATGGTGATGCTCCAAAAAATAATAACAAAATTTGAGCGATTTGAACTTTTTAAAATGTTTTCCAGTAGAGGTGCCAAGGGGGCTGCACGGGTCATTTAATGAAAGTGAATTCGTTGTTTTAGCTTGAATACTTCATTCTACGCGGTTTTATCAGTTAACATCAGTTGTCAAAGTAGACAATCGTACTCTATCATTGATTTGCTTCTTTCAATTTCATGGTATACTAGACATGGCGTAAAGTGTCACCTAGTGTGGAAGTCTCGTAAAGGATAACTTCATAGCTCCACCTAAAAGGTACGGGATAAATACGGCATCAGCATAAGAAGCGTTTTAGAAACAGATCAAGAAAATCGTGAAGACGGGAAATCTAACAGATTAACCAGCGATAGATTGGGATCCAATTATCCTTGTCACTTAACGCTGTGGAAAACGGGTGGATGTCACGATGCAAACTACCTGTTAGGTCAGTTAGCAGGACTTGATTCTACTGAAGTCGAAGGCATAGAGATATTGCAACAAGTAACGAACGTCTATACTTACAAGTCACTTTTGTGGTGTATGTGCCATACAACAACGCCTCATAAGCTTTCTACTCTACTGGAAGACGACCCTTAGGATTTAATAGTCATCGTTTCACGTGCATAAAAACCACATTCTTACAAAAAATGAAGCTTTTATGTTTTAAGAAATAGAGTTTTTTGAGTTGGAAAGGAGTCTTAGAGAGGAGTAATGGCAAAATTATTGCGTTCATGTGATGCAGTTAAATGTCATGTTTGAAATTACCTTTGTCTTTCTTTCATAAATATTTTGCCGTTGTACGTCTCTCGCCATTCCAAAATCTGCTACTTAACATGTTTAGTTTTCCCCAACCAACACATTACGGGCTGCGAGGTCTCGATGGAAGCGGTTCTATCGAGAAGGAGTCTTACAGGATACTGCTACTAAAAGTTTTTTTTATCTCAAGAAGAAAATCTGCTGAACTAAAGCTGAAAAATAAGATTAAGTTTATTTCATTTACATATTACAGACAAAATCTATCATTAAAAGTTAATGAAAACAACTCACCAGTTCCTGTAACACATTGCAAAAGTTTTTTGACACCTGGATGTGGTTCTAGTTGCTTCATCGTTTCAAGTTCTTTCAATGAATCTCTCCTGTCTGATTCCGAGGCGCTATCTAAAGATAAATTTCTACAGTCATCAATTATATTAATAACTGTGCGAGTCACAACGATAGAAATCACTTCGCCCATTTAAAAATTTGGGGAAAATTCAGTAAATATTGAAAGTTTCAGATATTTGAGGTTATCAAGTATTCATAGCCGAGTAAAAGCGGAAAGAAGAAGCAGAAAAAGAGACGCCCTGTAAACCTTGTACACTCTTTTCTCAGTCGAAGGTTTTTACCATGAAATATGGCATAGAGGACTGAAAGGAGAAACGTTTCTTTTAAAGGAACTGCATCACATCTCAGCGAACGATTCTTAACAACTCATTCCTAACTCTAAACGACGAGTACAACTTTTTTAACTCTCCTTGGCAAAAAGGTAAAGCTTACCTTGATCCCTTGATACTTCCTAGGAGCGGGTTGATAGATGAAGTGTTGCGTAATCAGCAACTTGGCCAGCAGTTTGAGTTTGAGTATCACTTGTTTCTATTATATCTATGTATTATGTAGGATTTTGGACAAAGTAACTTGCAATAAGATAGCTTAATTCAAGGTCTTTATCTCCATATCTCTCTGAAAAAATGTGAAGTATATATCAGCTTGACATTTCACCGTAACATTCACTATGCAGGTAAAGACATAACTTCTGGCTCCATGTCTTGAAACTGGCTGAGATCACTTCGTCCTCTCATTTTTTTATGATTCAATCGCTTTCAGCGTCAGGGCATTCACTTCACGGGCACTTTCTTCTTTATCCTTTAATAAAAAATAAATGAGTTATTTATGGAGATGGTTTATTTTAATTCATTTTGTTCCCTAACCTTCGTGTCTACAAGCTAACTGAATAGTCCACTCAGAATACGGTTATTTTTTAAACTGATTTGGAAACTCCAATTTTTTCTGCTGACTCCTGTTGTTGTATTTCTCACGTATTTTTCTTATGACATACCTTAGGCCTCCTTTTAATAGTAGTTTTTCGTTTAGTCTACGCCAGTACTACATTTGGAAAAAAGAACGTCTTACTTCTGTTTTCCTCGAGCACCTAAGAAACAAAGTGTGTTGGATGATTAATGATATTGGGTAATTTCAGGTTTTTTCCTGGGAATTGAAGCAACAACTGAATCTTACTTATCTGTGCTGTCGCGTACCCAATGCAGCGGACACGGGGTGTTGTGCACTGGAGTTCGGGGAGTGTCAACCACAGTGTAGGAATCGACAACACAAGTTGATTCAACAACGTGCTATCGTTTGACTATCGTACACATGCAGTGAAAACTGAAAAAGGGAGATTACAATGTACAAGATCAAAAGATGGGCCGAGACAAATTACAAAACAAACGAAGTCGAAAAGAAAAGGAAACTAAACACTATAAGCTGGAACTTACGCCTGATCCTCTCTTTGCGGGCTTAGAGAGACTGCAACGTTACGTAACTGGAACAATCTTGTATAAAAAGAAACTCTAATCTATCTCCGTCGATCTCCTAACTCCAACTGACTCGGTACTTAAGGAGCGTACCACTATAAGAGTAAAGTTTACTTATACAAACTGGTTTATCAGGAATGCTAGCCAAGTAGGTAATTCAAACTGTGAACAATGGTACACTAGGAAAATTTGGGGCGTAAGCTCCACAAAGAAACAAGACTGAACTTTTTTCTTGCTTTAAATCAAAACAAAACGATTACGTAATCAAAATCTTCTTCGAATGTTCATTACATGTGCTATTTCCATTTTTCTGTCGTCAGAGGGACTCAGTCCATTTGTAGCAATACAGTCGTACTCACAAAAATCTTGATCATCTTTGAGCGTCAGTTGCATTTTGCTTTCCCTGGCTATGACTCTGTTTATTTCTCTTCCATCAGGTTTTTACTAGGCGAGCGTTGGTACAGGAACACCATCAGACCGACACTTTAACGTCACCATCTGACCAATCCAAGACATACTGGCTAACAAAAACGTTGACACCTAAAAAACATGAAGTTGGCCCATGGGAAGTTTGGAGAGCACGTGAGAAGGATACGAGTTGCTCGAGGTGCAGCCGAGAGCAACTCTAGCTTCTTGAGTATATACGATATACAAACAGCTACCTGAACGAGTACCATGTCCTCCATAACATAGCATACAGATACAAGTTGTGCACGGAAAAAAAAGTACACTATAACTCAGTATGTTGGGTTTACCAGGTAATCGTGTTCTACCCGAAAACTACGACAAGGCAAAAACGACTAAGAAATATCTCAAGACCAAATCTTTATTCAAAGAATTGCAATTTTTCTGCTCAGAATCGAAAAAAAACGACTTTCATGCATGTACGAGACCGCGTAAACAAAATCTTCTATCGAACAACACTTTTGAGACATATCTACACTTCAAAATAATACTTACTGATCGAATAACAAAGCATTTACGACACCCGTGTGGACGATATATTATGCTTGTATAGTTTTATATAAATATTTACATATTTACCAACCATTTTGCATTGAAATTCTTTTTCCTTTCGGTGTTACCTTGTCAATGAGCATGCAAGCACTTCTCTCCATCCGTTTTTTTCGTTGTGATTATCTGTGATATAAATGACTGTAAGAACACGATGGAAATCTACCTATCATTAGTCTGGTTTCCACAAGTACTGATTTACTGAAGGAAACTCAGTCGTTCAAAATTGCAAAGCAATTCTTAGGTTATAATGTCAGACTGAATATGGTTTTGGTAAAAGCATAAAATACACATTTTTAGTAGTAAATCTCGCTATCATGGTTAGTTCAAGTTAGCTGGTTCCATGGCTCTTTTTTTTACGCAAAGCAACAAACCTCACTAACCTGCCACAGGAGCGATTACGAACATCAGCAGTCACAAAGTAATTAGGGATTATCAGGACCTTACGTATCGCTGATAAATCAGTTCCTTCTTAGGAACTCAGTACCTATTTATAGCTAATTCATAGCAGACGGATCTTTGCAGCCGTGTTCTAAAATTATAAGAATAATAAAGTGACTCCCCTATGAGTAATATACAGCTGAATATGACTATATTGAAGATCATTTCAAGTATAAGAATGACTCAACATTATTATAATTTAACAGATTTAAAACATCGCTTCATTAAGTGAAGCTGTAATGTAAATGTAATCCACTAGTGGTGCATGTCCTTGTGTGTTTTACGAAGACATGTAATAATTTGTTTATCAAGGTCTATAAGTATAGCCAATTCTTTTAATTAGCGCTCGTATAGAGCTATGTCAGAACCAACATTTTTTCAAATGTGTTGGAGAGCACTTAGTCAGTGACAGGGCCTCTCGCATTTTCAGGCATCTGAAAGATTCTCCACATTGTCGCGCTATGTGTTCTACAGATAATTTCCATGGTTTAGATCACGCCTCCACCAGCTTTCAGCTTAAGATAAAGGAGGCTATTTATATTCAAAGAGAACAACCATCTTTGAATCAGCAATTATACCATGTAAATCTAAAACTATCTTTTTAATTCTCACACTTTCATGCTTTACCTCTTTTCTTGTTGTCACTATCCATCTTAATTAGCATTGTTCTATTTACCATACAATTCAACTTTCAACGCTTTTTAGAGTAATTAACTGAAGATGACAGACGTTTCTGTCGAAACATGTCTTACAAACTCAAAAGTGTTGTCGCTTTCTTTAAATTCTTTAAGAGGATATAATAGATGACTTTTTCCGAAACCGCCATTCTTGACGACATCAAGTCGCCATCAGCCCTGATGCAAAGATTGTGTCACTGATGAGCTAAGTTGTAGTCTGTGTATTATATAAAAAATTTCAGTGAATTCATTTTCTTAAGGCGACTCCCCCCCTCCCCCGCATTTCACCCCCTCTCCTCTGTATGCTGGAGCATCGTTTTGCTCCCAGAAGCAAAATAACGTCAGAGAATATTTCAAAACAGACGCAAAACTCTCCTTCATTTGAACATTAAGACCATATCTCAAGCGACCTCTGCTCCAAACTGAAAGAGCGTTGTTTTCATATCAGGTACTGTTTCTCGTGCAATTATTTATTTCAGCTGAGGAAAGAAGGGTTTTGACCAAAAGGTAACCTAGTAATTATGTAAGATTGATCGACTCTTAACTTCAACTGAGAGTGACAGGAGAACATGGTTTCTTGGATGTTAGTCTACTGAAACACATACAAGCGATCTTTTGCACTTTCAGAAGCTTTTTTAAGCCCAAGTAACATTGGTTTGGTTTTTTCCTTTCTTCGAAAAAAGAGATCTAGAAAGATGGGTCAATATATAACAGATCAATTTCGTGGAGTGAAAGATGAAAACTTTCGTACAGTATCATCTTGCAGACAGTGTCAAATCCGAAATTTTCAACACTTTTATTATAAAAAAAATGAAAATTATTTCATTAACGAGTCCAGGGAAAAAAGGCTAAAACATGTACCTAAGACCAGTTTCGCTGAATAATAGTATCTGGTAGTAATAGTATCGGGCTATTAGCCAAAACAACAAAATTTCTCGCAGAAGTAATGTGCCAAGTACAATTTTGATTCGAATATCTTTAATTTTACAAATACTTTCAGTGTAAAAGTACTTCGAGTTGGTATTGCAGGAAAAGGCGGGCTTAGGGAAAGCAATTTATGCGTACTATAGCTTTCCTGCAAAAAAGCGGGTTTTGCAGCAAAATTTTTTAAGCAATTAAAAAAATTGTACACAGCTATGACACTCAGAGCGAGATCTCATCAATCTGGTGAATTGGAATTTATTTCCGCGCTGTCCTGCCTTTCAGAATTGAGCCAGAAAATAAACTGAACACAAACGCTTGTGTCGAGCATGCGTGTAAGTGCCAAACATGTTAAAGAGAAAATAGAGTATACTTTATCGGTAAACTGATAAAAGCATTACAGCGTTTAAGAATATAAAATCAATTGAGTTACAACGTTCCAGCCTAACTGCTTAACACAAAATGGCTATTTCTACCAAGTAAGTGTGTAAGGAAACGATGATTAATCCCTGAAACTTGTGTTACGGGAAAATTTACTGATTTTCCCGTGTGTGTTATTCCGAACATATTTATTCGTAAACTTTCACATTTAACCATTTCAAGTCCTTTCATTTCAATAAATCAAAAAAATGCATAAAAACCACAGTAGCTTTTGAATAGATTTTTGTTGTTACTCGCTTTCATCATATGCACCTGCTTGTCGGCACTTTTGTCATCTAGTACATGGGTTTTTTTAGGTAAATGTAAGTGTTAATGGTCTTTCTGGAAACATTTGTTTTCATGGTAGATAGCAGCTGAGTTTTTACGCGTAAATCTAATTTCTTTTCATGCAATGGTTTCCAAACCAATCTTGCGTAAATAAGCAGAAACTTTTAATTACTTTTCCTTTTTTTTATTTCCTGAGCTGCGCTACTGCAATTAAGATAGGTATTGTTTTCTATACCAGAGCTGTAAATTCGCACCTAGGTTTCCTACTTTAATGGCCTAAAGTTTATTGCATCCGTCTTTTTAATTTTGAGATTCTTTCCGTCGTGGAAACAGATGGAATATTTAAGTAGTTTTTGTTTAGCTTCAAAGAGCCTTTTTTCCGCTCCTTTGTGTCCTTATCCAAATATTGCGATTTGTGTAACAATAGCACTTCGCACCAGTTACTTCTTAAGCAAGTACCTTGTACAGCTTTGATGATTACAAACTAGAGTATGTTAGAGGTCATGTCGCTTGTTGGCCTGACCTAGAATAAAAGTACTGTGGAACCAAAGATTGTCTTATCCTTGACGTCCGTATAAGCTCGCTCGAAGCAGATCTCCGTGTACCAGGAAATCGTGACGAGTTTCCGTTCTCGCTGCCAAGTCGTTTCTACAGAGTTAGTTCCCCCAGTTGTTATTGTGCCGTCCGCGAAGATTCAGTCCTCCAGTTTTGGGCGAAAACCTTATCGTCACACTTGTTTGGGCGAAGTGTTCAAAATGTTAGCCAGTCATACACTGCGGACGTGTATCTAATTACACCAATAAATCCTCCACGTTTGCATACAACTGCTTGTCGTACATTGTCATGTTGATCAGCTTCTGCAAAGTAAAATAATATAATAGTCAGAATCATTAAAAAAGGGGTTCCTCTTACGTTATAAGCGGTTATACTCACAAGTGGTCAGGTTTTCACACCAAAACAAATTCAGGGAGAAAGTATTTTATAACGTCGTCGTCTGCCAAACTTTGTGCGTCTCAATGCAATTTTGCAATCATGCTATGATCTTTTAAACAACCATAAAGTGTAAATTGTCATCGAGACATTCTAGGTCGCTTCTCGCTGTTTTTCGTGGAGTACTAGCTTCAGTGACATAACAAGAAGATGCAATCCAACCTTCGCAAAAATTACAGAAATGAGTACATATTACTACGCTATCTAGGCTCAATGCTGTTAAGTTTAAAGCCTTAATTAGCTGAGCCTGGGCCAGTCGCCCTTGCTTAAATGAAAAATTTCATGTTGTTCACAATTCTCACCTTATGCATGGTTTCCATGCCTTTCAGCTGATTTTTCAACTCCGTGAAAGTTGGTCTGGCGTCTGGGTCATTCTTCCAGCATTTCATCATGATCTGATACCTGGAATTTTTCAAAATTGACCTGTTAGAGATTTAAGGAACGTTTGCTTTTGCAATAAAAGAGAACGAATCGAATAAAAGAAACATTACAATTTTTCATCCACATGTAGTGGTTTAGGCATTCTGTATCCCTCTTGAAGTATGTTTGCAATATTTTTCCGTCCATTCTTGGGTAAGGTGAGCCACCTGAAAGAGACCACAACGCCATTAAAATATATATGTTACAAAATAACGACCTTCACTTCGGGTCTTTGTAGTAATTGTCATTTAATCCACGGCCCTTTCTCAGGTAGCCCAGGAGATCTCCAAAAGGAACATATTCGTACTTAGATCAAATTGTCTTCCAGGAAGAGGGCATTTCGTGAACCCTTTATAATGTTCTTTTTCAAGAAAAACAGGTTTTTATTTGCTGCTGGTCGAGGAAACATGTAACTCTAAGACTCGAACAGAGCTGACTTCCGAAGTTCTTGCCACTTCCAAGAGACTTAATTCCAGCATTTTTCTTAAATTTGACCATAAAGTTTAAACAAATTCGACCAACTTAAAACAGATGGGTAAAGAACAACCATCTAATATCCCAGAATTATATTTCAAAGCGTTATTTGTTGAAAACCGTAAGAGACGAGCGAATTTCCCCTGTATTCTCCATTTTTTTCCCTTGTGACAAACAACAGTAAACTCATTTCTCAACAGCAAATTCAATCAACTAAAATAGCTCACCAGACTTGGTAACACATCCTAGAAGTTTAATGACGTGAGGGTGTGGCTTTAGCTGCTTTATTGTGTCGAGTTCTTTGATCAAATCTCTCTTATCTGATTCAGTAGCATTCACTGAAAATAAAATAAAATTTGAGCATGGCAATTCTTTAAGCTACAGGTATATCTGATTTACCCTCATTGGCATTTGCAGAAAGTCACCAACTAGCTATTTTTAGGGCATTTATACTCAGAAGATTGATATAAGACCTACAAAGATATTTTCAAACATTCCACAAATTGAAAAAACTCACGACTCGGTGGGTAAAATCGACAAAAACCAACTAGCTATTTTTAGGGCATTTATACTCAGAAGATTAATATAAGACCTACAAAGATATTTTCAAACATTCCACAAATTGAAAAAACTCACGACTCGGTAGGTAAAATCGACAAAAACCAACATCTTCGAAAAGAATTTTTTTAGGCCTTAAAACATTAAGTTTACTTTGAAGTCTTTCCTAACGGTGAATACAATCTGAACAAGGCCTTACCTTGTAGCATTTTAATGGCCACTGTAGTAGCCCCGGGCCTTCCTCAAAGTTCTATTGCTGTTCCCTTAGCGACCTGACTAAAAGCACCTTTACCAATTATTTTTTATATTGTCACATGATCCCTTTCCACTTCCCAGGAGCGTGTTGACGGATGGAGAACCGCGTAATCGGCACCTTGATTGGCACTCTGGGTTTTGTTTTCATCTGTTCGTATTTCTATAATATCCATGTATTCGAATTCTGCACGAGGCTGAGTGAGGTTACTGGAAACAGTGATAGAGGGTTCTAGATCGATAAATACCATATCATTCTGGCGAAACAAAGGAATGTATACAGTAAATGGTTTTCGCCCAGGAGAAACATTTGATCGTTTAGTCTGATCGTACGACTGACAATGGTCCCACGAAGTGTTCTCTGTAGTAGTGACTGATCCATCGACAACCTTAGCGAAAGTCACCACTAGAGTCAAATTGGTCACTTCACTCTGATGACGACTTCAGTCCCGCTCAGGTCTACTGTCACTCAGACGATTCGACTACAAGATGAAATTAAATGTTGCTAACAGAATAATTGAGTCATTGAGCAACAAACATTGGAAAAAGTAATCTGAATAAATTAAGGGGGAGATGTTGTTTGGAATCCGCCGAACCGAAAACTGAATAAAAGGTGTTAGGACGTACTTTACATGATTAATCTCAGTGTGATTGAATATAAGACGGAAATATAAGACGGAAATATACGACCACACTGCCCGGCCTGTAAAGAAAGAGCATAGTACAAGAATTTAGAGAAGCCATGTAGCTTTCCCCAACTTAGGCTAGAAAATACTATTTTTTCGCCGAAAAGGCAAATTTAAAAGGGTATGAATGTTTTGCCATAGTCATGGAATATTCATAGTGTTTTAAAACTTAAGGCAAGTAATCAGAAAAGACTTTGATGTTAGAGTCAAAAGTTTTCACTTAAATGCGTGATAAATTTTTCAACAATGATCCTGACAAGGTATTTCCTTAAAAGGCTTACTTATAAAACTGCAATAAAAGTATTTAGCACGAAAATAAGGTTGCGTCACAATTCATTATTCTTTTTATTACTTTTTGGTTTAACTGAAGCTGCAAGCACGCTCTTGGTAATAGCGCTGCAGGAAGCGGTTTCTCCGCCTGCAGGAAGATTTGAGACGGCGGGGAGAGATCGGTCGAAAGTCTGGCGATGATAAAGCTAAACCCCTTACGGACCTCATGTCGGCTCACTTTGCTAAGATACTCGCGCTAATTAGGAGGGCCTCCTCGCAGGCTAATTAATCGGATCAGAAATAAATGTACTATCATAGTACCCATTCCAATTTCATAGGCGATAAAAATCTTACTCAAATCTTATTACTTCAACTTCGGGGGTAGAGCACTTAGGAAAGGCTTGATTGACCAGGAATAATGCAAACAAAGCACAGTTATATGAAAAATTGCTCATTTAGAGAGTAGTGAGTGTTCCTTTTCAAAATTAGAACAGCTCAATAAGGCTCTAAGGGATGAAAACTATTCAATGCGAGAACTACGACATTGTACATCAACAGGATAAATATTACATCGTTGCCATGATACTTGTGGTAATTTCTCCAGCACTCGAAATTAGCAGCCGTCCTGTTGTCCGAGACGACCCGAAAGTTTATCAGGCAATCAATTTATGGTAGAAATTAGAAGCTGCTTGCCCGAGGAAAAAAATCAGAGGAAAACCATGTCAAAAATCGCAAATAAATCAATCAAAAACAGCGCATGACTGTCCGGCAACATGTTTACCTTATGAATGAACGCCTCGACTGGCTAAAATGTTATCCATCCCAAGTTTTATAGTTTTATTTCCTCTTTTAAATTACGTTTGATATCACTGTTTTGATTTGACGTATATAGACCAAAACGAGTTCCCATCTTTTTAGCTTCCAATGCTATCTTCTGGAATTCTTCGCTCTCGATATCATATAATTCTTTGGCAAATACTTTGTCTTTGTAAGTCATCGTGTAATTCAGAATATTCGCGACTTTTTCTAGCAAAAACCATAAAAAAAACATCACAACGCGCATCATTTTACCCTTTATTTGCATTAAATTGGTCGTTTAATTTCCGAACGGTGGTAAGATCAGAGTATTAGTGAAACAGCCAATTCCGCTCTGCATAATTTCCTGCAAATTGAATATTCTTCCTTCTTATTTGTCTTCAAATTCGAATCACTTTAGTTCTTTTATGTGTCAACACAAAAGAACTAAAAAATCCGCTCAGCACATCCGTACATAAATGCGTCTACGTTCTGTTTAAGGCAGATGGATGCACTTTTCCAAATCTTCGGCCTGTTATGTTAAAAACGCTTTTAAAATCACCTAAGCCCCTAGAGAGTTAAATTAGCGAAACAGTAACGTCAACTAGAGAACTCACTTTCCCCAACGACAACAAACGTCCTCGTAGCAGGAATCCCAATTCCATTGTCAGCTTTACATTCCTAACGGTGCTTGTCAGTCTTCTCCGGCGTGATCGTAAGAGAGAATCTATTAGAATCATGATTTATCCCCACGTCAAAGTTTCCGGTTTTCCTTTCTCAACAAACGTTTCGCATGATGTCGTGCTGTTTATTGCAGGAGGAGCTAATGTAAACATTTGGAAAAATTACTATTAAAAAATGTTAAAAAACTGTTTAATAAAGCAATAGTCCTATAATTATGAGGGCTAATATCTTCAGCACCGTCAGAAAGAAAAAATGCTTCAGTCTCCTCGACAGAACTTCTAGCACAAAACAGAGTAAGTATGTTTAAGGAAGCTTGTCCACACTGCACTGAGGGATGAAACTAACTTCAACTTTTATGCACAACTCACATCATTTATACTAAAGCACTATCCTTGGAACGTAAGAAGTCTTTCTTCTTTTGGATGAGAAAAAATCAAACTTTATTTTAAATAGGGGTTTTAATTTAAATCATAGGCAAGCTTATTTGCTGTAAATATTATTTCAACCGAAGAGCCTCGCGGACAATAATTGCCGGATGATGCTGAGCTTAAGCTGAGTTTTCTATTTGTTTTTGTATTTTGTTTTTGTAGAAAGTTGGAGAACCAGAAAAGTTGTAGACATGTCAGTTACTTTCAAAATGAACCAGAGTAGTTCTTGACGAACGCAGTTTTGGATTAGAAGGGAAAATTCGTCTGTTCAACAACCACGCGTGCTGCCAACCTCTAACTGTTGTCTCAGAGAAGGTTTTCTTTGCTGATTACCGAAACCAGAGGGCTCTAGGAAATTTGTCCTGGTGTTGACAAAATTTTTTATCTCATAATTTACATGCAGTAACAGTTAAAAAAATTTTCATTTTGGTAATGTCTTTGTCGACGCACAGCCAATCCAGAGGTTGGAAAAATTTACTAGGCTCTACTTTAAAATGTTTGTTTCCAAATTCAAATCAGTTGGCTTTAACCTAACTTTAATTATGTAATGCGGGAAAAAAGTCAGTCCTTTTTAACTCGTGAATTGCGCGCATGCGCAAGAGCGAGTTGTAGATATGATGTGGAGAATGGCACTCGCTCGCTCGCTCGATTGGTCGATTCCTGTAAACTTTTTTTAGATTTTAGGCTTTTGAGTGCATTTGATAGTTTTTTGGCGAGCAATAAACAAACGAAATGGCGACCTTTGTTGCTAAGAATAGTGGTGGGATGAAAAAGAAGCCAATGATAATCTTAAAAGAGTTTTTTTTTCGTTTTAGTTTCAACAAGCGGCGCCAGCGACTAGCAGGCATACAAGGATTCACACTGAAATAACAGAACGACCTTCGTTTTTCATAAAATTGTAATTTACAATCCTTGAACTTGAAAACAATCCGAAGATTCATTGAAAATATCACTTACAGCGAAGCGCTCAGAGTTTACAGATGTTCAAAAGCTTTTTCTGTTATGGCTTGAGATTGAGGACAAAATCGATCATTACATTTCGTATGGTGAGTTTTTCCTGTGTGAAGCAACAAAAGATGCCGGCGTCTGACGAAATTACAAGTTATCACGAAAATCAAATAACACCTAAACAAACAATTTTAGCTACCGATTTTCAGTGAATTTTTAAAGAACAATTTTCTTTTAAGTTTCAAGACAATTTGAAGATTCAAAATAAATATCACGTACTAAAATGCGATAGTTATACACTACAAAATTGATAAATAGGCCTGAAATGAAATTCTATCTTGTTCTTGATTATACGTTGCCTAGCACATGATTAAAATCTACGTAGGCGGAGATCCAAAATGACGGTGGCAATCTTGGTCAGAACTCGTGTCCGTTTGACTCATTTGATCAAGAGGGAATCGTTAATGTTTTCTTTAAGACAGTATTGCCTTGGTTTTCTAATATTTACAATGATAGACACGGAATTTCACTTTTCACCCACATTTACTTCCAGTCTTTTCTTTTGAACCAGAAACAAAAATGATATACGTTTAAAACACATGACATCATCCACCCTTGTCAAATGTAATAGCATGATCATTTCAATTGTAATGCCTTCATATCCCAACGTTACTTTGTTTCTTTGCTGCGAACACTGAACTACTGCTCGTACTCTAGATATGACAATCAACCACAAAATTCCCTAAACCAGATAACATTACACATAATTCAGAATATCATGTGTCAATTCACGAGTTTGCTCACAGAGCACTTTGATTCTGTCGATACATCATTCATCTGACCTCACAGTAAAAAATTTGAGTTCATAGAGGAAAAAAACATACAGAAAAAGAAAAACAGAAATGTTTAAATACAGCACAGACGTTTGTAATACCAGTATAATGTACAAGCATATTTATAAAAGAGTAAGGCTACACATCTAACACACCGACTCGAAACTGTAACACTTACAATACACTTCTACGGTAATTTTTGCCGTCGGTCTGTCTCCATAAGCATTAGATGCTTTGCACGTGAAGGTCACCCTATTATTCTCTTTCACTTCTGAGACGGACGTTGTAAGAACTGAATTACTACCAACACTAT